GATAGATAAATGCAGGCAGAAGAAGGAAAGAAATTTTCTTTGAGCAAATAAATGTTTTTAAAGCAATGTTTGCATGATTATCTGACCTTATTACCTTGTTTCTGAAGAAATAATTTCTTGAAGTTTTTGTCTTTTAGACATAACCAAACAGAAATAACCTTACAAATGGAGCAAGCTTTTCTGACATTCCTGTAGAGCTGCATGCAGTGCATTTACATCTTTGGTAGATGTGGTGTGCTTCACAGATCTCAAAGGAAAAAGCAGCAATTCACCTCAGGCTGGGAGCAGCCAAAAGTTACCTGATGATTGTTTAGTGTCCCAAAGTCTTTCTGAGCCAAGTGAGATGCCTTGCTGTTGGACATCTACACATCATCCTCTTGCCATGAGCTCACACAACCCTGGTTGCCTTCTCCACTGTTTCTTAGTCAGTTTATTAATTTTCTGGTTTGGTGGCCTGCAAGCAGCATTTGTTGACAACACTCTTCACCACCACTCCCTCTTCTCACAGATTTCTGTTCATTTAATTTTCAAAATCACTTGCCTGGTTTCTCCTTGACCATTTGTGTGGTGTCAAACTGTCTGAATAACCCAAAATATAACCCTGACATACACTTCCACAAGAATGGAGAGAAAAGGAATTTTGACCTTTCATGTTAAGGTTTATCAGCACCTCTCAATCCCATCTCTACATGGAATACTTATTGCAGAGAACAATCTATTTCATTCATATCCGTGGGATTCCATCTGACCATAAGGATCTGCCCTTGTGGATTTGGGTGCTTCCAACGTCTATGGAGGTGAGAAGATAAAACAGAGAAGCTGTTGTTTTAACTGAGCTACAGGATGTAGAGCAGACAGTAAACCAGCGAAGGTTATAAACATGAATTTATCTTCTTTGAATGATACCTCAGCACACTTTGTTTATCTTCTTCACGTAAATAGTGGCTTCATTCTTTCCATTGTTTGTATAAAGAGATAAAGTTGGGCATGGCATTGGACAGCATATTAAAACATAATGTAGCATAAAACACTGTGAAGCAGTAATTGACAAATACGTCAAAGTAAAAGAAAATAAATAATCAAAACATGAGAGTCCAAAGCCAGTCCCTGGGGAGTTCTTGAGCCTGACACCACCAGCAGTCACAGGGCTGATTGGGTGGCTCCAGACTGTCACTTTTGTACTCAGGTCAGGCCTTGTCCTCTTCTTCAGTTACAGCTCCCACCAGATATAGTGTCCTCTCTCCACGTATATCCTGACAAAAGTCAGGGTAAAGACTTTTCAGAAGGGTGATTAACACACTCTCTGTATTGATATCACCGGGTGGAGAGGAAGAGGAAAAGATTATTTACTGAATGTGAAAACTGAAAATACATATGTGTTCAGAAGTATGCCTGGCACCTCAGGAAAGGGGTAAATGCAGTGCTTTGTTTGCCAGAAATTAAATCTGTTTGGAAGGGGAAGAGGAGGCACAGAACAATGTTTCTGCAGTTGATGTTCTCATCTCAGGGAAAATACAAATGGTGGCAGTTCCTAACCTTCTTGGATGATCAGCTCTACACAGCTGCTCATTATGAAGCTGCCCTGTGGCTAGAAGGGGAGTGATACCAGGTGATGCAGGAGGGCAGGAAGGTGTCCATAAAGAGGTATTTCACTATATTTATTAAGTCTTACCTTTACATAAGATTCTTAACTCTTAAGTGTTCTATGCAAAGTTATTTTAAAATAATTTTATCCCTAGCTTTGTATCTTAATCCTTCTGTTTCTTAATATTGTACTGGAGAACTTGGAAAGCTTTCATTTTACTGAGCATATTTTGTGTTAAACTCCAAAGCTCACAGAAATGCAATCTATTGCTTAATAATTTCAATATAACTTGGTCTTGTATGATTTTCTAACATAGGAGTTTTGGAATTTGCTGTGGACATTTAAAGCAGAAATCTTGTATCAAGTCCTTTTTTTTTCTCTCTTTTTGTTTTAATTTTATTATAGGGGATGTCATGGTAAAAGATGGATTTGTGTGAGACATCTTTCACAACAGTGATATATTATTTAACATTAGTTGGTCTCAGTCCATCTTCTTCCTGGCCACTGGGTAAGGTGCTCAATACTGACTGCCTGGGAGCAGGGCTTAGGCATGCACAGAGAACCCTGCACAGCCCAGTGTTGTGGTCCTGGAGTCCCTGGGCCTGTGCCCACTTCCCAGAAAATGCCATTCCCTGGCATTCATTAGAGCCAGAGCCCAAGGAATGAATATAGGAGTTGACTCATGTGACTCTTCAGGTCACTGGCGAGGTCAGGTGCCATGTTCTGGGAAGATTTCCAGACCACTGCACGGACGCAGAGCTCCAGTCTCCAGGATGCAGTCAAAGCTTGCCCAGAGGGTAGGGTGGATGGAAATAGGTGGTTTTTCTTGGAGTTGGGAAATCTTTCACAAAGTGCTGAGGCTCCTCTTGCAAGAGACCAGCTCTGGTTTGCCATGAGCAATCTGAGAAGCTGCTGAATAGAAAAAGCACTTTGGTGCAGAGAGAAGATTCAGTCAGAAGGAAGAATCACTGTAGTTATGACTCCACAGATACATCTTTCAAGTAAACAGAAGTACTTTCAAAACACCTCAGTGTCCTCTTTTCATCAATGAAAAATATGCAGCTGCTTTGCAAGGGACTGGCTGTCACCAGTTTGACAGAATCAGAAAGCTGCTATTTTTCCAGCTTCCCATGAGCTTCCCAGGACAATTCCTCATAGGGAAGAAGATATTCTATTTCTTTTTCTTAAGAGATAAAAGTGGGCTGATGACTAATACTGAAGTGAATTGTTAAGAGACTTATTTACTTAATTGAGCCTGCTTGTTTGGTACATGTCCCAATTAATTCATTTTTTGTTGTGACCATATTGAAGCAACCTACACCCTTGTGACCTTCTCTTATAATTATTACTATTTTCCTCTTTTGAAGCACTGTTTTGATTATGCACTCAAAAAGCTCTGCTGAAACATCTGTAGTGCTACCACAGAGTCAAATTTTTCCATTGTTTGGAACTCAAAGGTAGCAAGAAAAAGAATCCTTCTTTATTGAAGTTCTTAGGGGTTATGGGTCACTTACAGCCCTTAGGGGATGGGGGGTGTCTTCCTTTTTAATTTCACAAAATGAGTATTTTGAATAGGCAGAACTTGTTTTCTAACTAGAAATTTTTTTAAGAAAAATGCGTTGTTGGATGGTAGCACTCAGAGGTGGCTCAGAATTCCTCTGGTGTAAATATTGTACATATTACAGGGTCACAGGAGAACAAAACAGCAGTGGAAAAGGGGCTGGCAAGTATGGCCAGCCCTAAATTTGTTGAGATTGCTATGAGGACTCTCTGCCCCAAATGAGGCATTGTTTTTATTATTGCTTAAATTAAATACAGTATTTGACAGCTCTTTGCCTAAACCACAGTGGAGTTGTGTGAAAAGCTCTCTCTGAAGGAGAAACTCTCTCAGCCATGGCAGTCACATCTGCAGTGGTAGCTGGCTGTCAGTGAGGGCTGCCAGTGCAGGGGGAGGGGTGTTTATTCCTCACTGCTTCATGGGATGAAGATTTTGCTGTTTGTGCCAAACTCCACCATGTTGACTTATGCTCACTACAATGTTTTTGAACTCCTGTCCCCAGCTTCTCTCCCCCCATTTGCCTGGAAATTCCAGCCAAGGGTTTTCCTCCATCAGGGCGTGCTCCCACGTGCTGGTGGAGCTTGTTCTGGGCAGTGATCCCAGAGTGGTGTTGGTTTAGGGAAAGGTGCTCTGCCAGGGGCATCCTTCCTTCCAGTGGAACTAGAAGAATTACACCAAGCCCGTTACTGCTGGCTGCTGTGTTTAAGAAGTACCCTTGTAGTTCTGTGCTCCTCTTACAACAGCAGTCCCTTCTTCTCAGGGAACGGGACCCTTGCACAGGGTATTTTTTCACTCAAGACTTGCTGATGCTCTTTCTTTTATTGTTTTAAGTAGTACACTGCTTTCCCCAGCCTCTACCTGCTTTTTGCTCCGTTCTGTCCAAACAAAAACTGGCCATGCTTTCAACTTCTTAAAGCATTGTGTAACCTTTTTCCCTCTTCTTCATTCCCAGTCCCTTTCTCTTGACTTCCTTACAAACTGCTTTCATATCTGTGCTCTATGCTCCGTGGGGTTTCTTTTTTTCTGTATTGCAGACTCTGTCTGTTCCTGAAACAATTAAAACCACTTATTAAAAGATAATAGCTCACTCTGGGTCACAGTTTTTCAATGGCCCTCTAAGCTGCTGGGGATTTTGATGCCAGAGGACAGCAGTGCTGGGTAGAGCTTACCCTGGATGCTGACCCTATACTGGGGTGCTGTGTCCTTTTGTTTTAATGTTTGTCTGAGCAATCTTCTCGTCTTCAGAGTCAGACTGCTCATGTGTGTGTAGATGTGGCACTTTAGAACATGGCTTTGGTGATGAACCTGGCAGTGTTAGGTTAATGGGTGGACTTGATCTTAGAGGTCTTTTCCAGCCTAAATGATTCTGTCATTCTATGTAGCAAGAATTCCTGCCTCAGTAGAAAATAAAATATCTGAAAATCTTTTTTCAGCCTTGAATAATAATCCAGTACTAGATAGACCATCTCAGACCAGGCTTCTTCATGCACCAGGCAAAGGTGGCTGACTGAAAAAGCCAAAGGAGTGGTTGTTCCACAAAACCATAATTAGAGGTTAATGCTTGCCCTGCTCACTCTTGACTTTCTCTCTGTACATAACCTGATTCAACTCCTTGGCTGTGCCTATGTCCAGAACACATTGGCTCAGCGTTCTGCTTTAGAGTGTGCATGAAAGATGCTGTATGAAAGATTCATTTCCTTTCCAGCAATGGGAGTTTCCTTTCTAAATGAACTCATGTGCCAGATCACACAGCATGCCGCCAAAGTGCTGCATTTTATATGACGCCCACAGGGCTCTACTGAATGAAATCTGCAAGTCTTCAGAGTTCTGAAGATGGCTTTGTGTTTTTTGGCATAGAAACAGAAAAGCTGGGGCTGGAGGTGGGAAATGGATTGCCATCTTGGAAATTTAACGACCAGCTGTTTCCCTGTGACGTGTGTGGAAAAGTGTTTGGTCGCCAGCAGACTCTGTCCCGGCACCTCTCGTTGCACACAGGTAAGGCAGGACTCACCTGTGGCTGTCACAGCACTCGGGAATTCCGTGGGGTTTGTTTTGGGGAGGAGAAAGATGGCAAGGAGAGGAGTGTGTGAGCCACCCTCAGCTCACCAGGGCAGAGCCGAGCACAGGAGCAGGACACAACTTCAGAGTGGGCTGAGGGAGTGAACATTTCATTTATTTGCAGCCTGCGTGAAATTTCTCCTTACAAAACCTGTCGATTCAAGTTTGTCCAGGTTCCAGCAGATCAGACTGCAGACACCAACTGATAACCAGGCTTGGTAATGGAGTTCTGAAGAGAAGGCACAGCCTTTGTTTTTGGACAGATTTAGGGTTTTTTGACAGAAATATCATTCACCTGATGAACTTTTCAAGTGTCACTGAACCAACAGAAGATTTGGCCTTTGTGTTTTAGATCTGTGAAACTGAAAGGATTGAATAACTCATTCATCATACAGTTCTGAGAGGAGCAGGGGCTGTTCTACCCCATATCAACTTTCTTGAAGTGAATCTGCTTCAAATCAGCTGAGACAAACAGAGGTTTTATGTGGAAGATGCACTCTGTCAGCCTGCTGAGGTGCACTGCATAAAGTAACACTTGAAGCAAAAATTTCCCATGTAGTGCTGAGAAATCCTGTTCGTATAATGCCAGTGTATGCCAACACAGCCGTCCTGAAAAGGCTCAGATTCTCCATGGTCTAGTGGGGTTTCCTTAGTCCTAAGCTGCTTTATGAAATGCCTTTTCCCTCACACTTGTAGCATTATATTTCAATTTTAGAGGAGCAGACCCTCAAAGGAAAAGGTTGTAAAAGCAGACATAATGTTTGGTTATTTTAATCAACCCTTTGCAAAATGCAGCCTGGTGCATGCACAAAAACTGTGCTGCCAGGATCTAGAAATTATTAATTTAAAATAAAAAAGAGGAATATTTAAAATTGTGAATCATCAGAAACTCATTATAAATGTGTTTCTTTTTTTTGACTGTTCTTTGAATGACCTTTTTCATTAGTTCATTTTTGGAACTGGACTGATGATATACAATGTTCCCCTTCCTCCTACCATTAGATTTTAATACAAAATCATCAACTGTCAGCTCTCTGCAGGCAATTGCATGGGCAATCTCAACAATAAGTCCAAAAATCAAATAAAAGATGCTGGGTAAAGGAAGTAGTTGTAGACTATTGACCTGTTTCTCCACTGGCTTTGCTGCAGCTCCCAGAACAGCAATTGCCCCAGTTTTCCAGTTTATAAAGTTTTATATTATCCAGCTACAAATGGTAGAGCAAATTTAAAAAGCTTGCCCTAAACTACCTTCAAATTAGTTGGATTTTTTTTCTGAGTAATTGCTGTGGACTCCTATAAATTTCTAAAATGTCGAGCTTCCAAAGTACCTCATCCTGAAAGCTGCTGGGAGAAACCCAAAGGAATGCACGCTTGGTTACTGGCAGCTTGCAAAGCAGCTGGCTTCAGACTGAGCTATATGCTCACATCTTTCTGCTCCCTTTTTCAGAAGAGAGAAAATACAAATGCCACTTGTGCCCCTATGCTGCTAAGTGCCGTGCTAACCTGAACCAGCACCTGACTGTGCACTCGGTGAAGCTGGTGAGCACCGACACCGAGGACATCGTCAGCGCCGTCACGGCCGAGGGCAGCGATGGAAAGAAGCACCCTTACTACTACAGGTGAGCACCCAGACAGGGGCTGTGCACCAGGCACTGCCTCGTGTGCCTGCTGAGGACATGGGACAGGGCCACCCTTCTGGTGCTGCTGGCTTGGAGCCTGAGTGCAGCATTTCTCTTGCCCGTATCTGGCTTAGGATGAGCAGCGAGCCCCGGCTGGCTGCTCTGTGCTGTTTGACTTGGCTGGCCATGGGGAAGGACTTGGGGGTTTGCTGTGGGGTTGGTTTTTTTTAAGTGCCTTTGTGAGGTATCTGGGCTCTTACAAGCCCCTCTAACTTTTTAAGCAGTGTTCCTTTAATTTTTGTGTTTGGAAACATCCCGTCATGTACAAGGATTCACAGCGAATCTAAAGCCTGGTGCTTCCAGTCACCTCTGATTGTTCCCTTGTCTTCAGCCTAATCCTTGAAATCAAATAGCTTAAAAGTGTTATCAAGAATTGTTATATCAATCTACACATTTCCTCTAGAGGTAAATACATTCTGCTAGAGGTTGCTAGAGGTAAATACATTCTGTGACCAATATGGTGAAAGAAAGAAAACCTTCAGGAGAATTTGCCTGAAAAATTGAAAGGAATTGCCCAGATAAAATGGATATTTAGACATTCTTCTTGTTGTATGCACTGTTGTGCACTCTGCAAACTGTGATGTGCACTCTAGTGGCCAAGCAGATTACCAAATCACTCTTACTTTTAGTCAAAGTGCCAAGAGCAGATTTAATTACAAAATCATAGAAGTAAGAAATAAATGAGACCTGCTGGATTAGATTATCTAGTGCTTCCCCTTGGGAAAGCAAAATAGTGCCCTGGAGTATATGCCTTTTCCAATCTTTCTGGCTTGTTTTAAATGTTAATAGCCTAATCAAAGCAAGAGGAGGACTCTGCAAAGAAAGTTAAATTAAAGGATCCTTTCCACTGCCTCTCAGTATCACTGTGTTTATGTGCTGGCTGCAAAATCTGTATCCCTGCTAATTATTCGCATAGCTGAAGACTGCTGTTTTCCAGTCAAGCATAAGAAATGTTTGAACCCATTTTTACTTGCTTACACTGAAACTGCCAGGCAGTTTTGCACAAGATCCCAGTTTGGCATGGGAACCATTCCAGGGCTTGAAAATCATTCCTGGAGTGTGCAGCAAGCTCTCTGTTTGTCAGTGTATCAGCTGTACTAAACATCTTGGCAAAGCTGCAGTGCCTCTTATTGCCCAAAGGAATCGGTTAGGTGATGCACAGCATCTGGAATCTGTAGTTTTTAATTAACTTTATGATTATTTAGCATCATTATAGCATGTACAGGATTGTTGCATTGTGCTTGCCCTTAATCACATTGGCATGGCCATCAGTTCAAAGGCAGTTCAGCAGACAAAAGAGTTTTGCAGTGAACACTGAGCAGCGAGGAAGAGCAGAAAACTGTGCTGTGGCTTTCCTCTTACAAATTTGGGGAAAGGCAATAGGCTTCTGTTTGTGATTTGGTTTTTAATGTTTCTTTTACTCTTGAATTCTTTTCTGCCTGCAGCTGCCACGTGTGTGGGTTTGAGACAGAGATGAATGTCCAGTTTGTCAGTCATATGTCCCTCCACGTGGATAAGGAGCAGTGGATGTTCTCCATTTGCTGCACGGCGTGCGATTTTGTCACTATGGAAGAGGCAGATATGAAGGCTCATGTCAACAGCAAGCACACAGGTGATGATCCCTGTCTCCCAGCTGCAGTGATCTCTGTCTTCCTTGCTTTTTAGGTGCAACCTTCACACTTCCCATTAGCACTCTGCTTTCACTGAAATGCTTGCTAATTAAGGCCTGATCTCTCAAACTTGAAGTGAATTGGACTCCAGCCAGGCAAAATAATCTGGTAGTGCAGATCAATTTTCAAGCTTAGTGAAATAAATGAAGGACTACTTAGCCCTTCTTCCTATTCCCCTTATCCCCCAAATCCCCTCTCCTGCTGGAGTCAGTCAAATATTTCATTTGTTTTTCTGGTTTACTATTTCATCAAAATCCTGCTTTGACTTCAGCGATGCTAAGGTGACTTTGAGGGCTAATTGTGCATACCTGGCTCTAAGTCTGAAATAAACATTTTGTTGAGCTTTGCTCCTCGCTGTGTTTGCCCCCCCCAGTCCATCAGTTTGGAATTTCACGCTGATGTTTAGTTGACACTGTGATTCAGCAATACCATAAATGTACTTTATATTAAATAGCAGAACAAGTCGTGCTCGCTCCCTGGTCCTGCTCACTTAATAGCCAAGGATAAGAGCAATAGCAGTTTTCAAACAAGCTCCATATGCTTAGTCCAACTAATGAAGTCTGGCATAATTTAAGGAGAAGAAAATTGGAATCTTCTTAATTTATTTCTTTTACAAGACCAGGCAGAAGCATTTTTGCTGCCACAAACTACTCACAGTTGTATTTACAATACGGAATCTGATTGCATCCAGCACAACTTTTCCATCGCTAAATTGCTTTTCTTGTCCTACCAGGAATAAAATTGGGAAAACAGGAGGGATGAAGAACAGGGGAGAGAAGAATACAATTGGTTGTGTTCACAGATACATAAGTTAAATGGAACTATAGAAATATGAACTACTGGAAAGTTCTCAAGGGATTTTATGCTAGCATAGCTCTCAGCACTACTTCACTTCATAAAGAGGAGCTCAAGTCAAATGAGAAACACCACCCATAGCTATGTGAAAAGCCTCAAAAGTGAGCTGTGCTCTGCTGTATTCTCCAATTGTGGCTAAAAGATTGAAACTGCTACTTGTCTTTTGATGATAGGCAAAACCCCCTTGTTCTTCCTTCACCCTGCCCAAGTGAGCCCCCTCAGCTGGTGATTCAGCCAAATGTTCACACATATGGCAAACACAGGGTAAAAAATAGAATGGATTTTCTGGGTCACTCGACTCCAGTTCCTTATCCTGTGATGTTGCCAGGTCATAAAGGGACTGTTTGTGAGGATATGGCATATGCCTTCAAAGAAGTATCACTGCTTTAAATGAAACATTTCGAGAGACAGGCAGCTGTAGACTTCTCGCTTTAAAGATGAGGGACCTTTTTAAAACTTCCAGTGTGTGTCGTAGTGATAATCAGAGTACACATACATTGTTCTTGTCCAGAACTGCCCTCTGTCTGAAACTGCAGTCCTCCTTTTCCTCCTTCCACCTTTCATCCCTCCTTCCACAGTATTTATTCCCTTAGTACATTTCTGGAGAATAACACTCTGCCCTCTAAATGTACACTGAGCCTTTTCCTATATGGAACACAATTTTCCTGCTGTACCAATCCCTCACTGCATGTGTTCTTGTTGGAACCCCTGTTCTGGACACATGCAATCACAGCTGTACATGCTGAAATGAAATAAGCAGTGGTGGCAGTACAAACCAGCAGCAGCTACTGGGAATAGGTCACACAATAACATTCCATGATCACATTTACCTTCCTTGAAGGCTCCCCAACACTGATTGCTCATATTCATCCCCTCTTCTGCTCCAATTCTGATTTTGTTTTCCTTGACTGTTTCAAACCTAAGCACTTCTCATTTGTAGCAAAAATTCTTGTTACTGGCCCTTCAGGTAATAACCTTGTTCTCTGTGCTATTAAATTTCATTCCATTTGTATTACTCTTGTCCCCAAGGTCAGTGAATCTTTCTGTATGATATCCAGTCATCCTCCCTATTGGCAGCTCGGGTCATCAGATTTCATTAGTGCATTCCTATGTTTTTATCTTAAAGGTGCCACTCAGTTTAAAGTTAAGAACACAGGTGCTGGTGTTTGCAGAGGCTTGGTGTTTGCAGGGGGGATTGCATCACATGGAGAATTTTGAAGTTTTAGTGAAGTCTCCTTTTCACACAGCTCTCATTGAATCAGGACATGGGTGGGAGGGAATGATTTGGCCATCTTTGCCTCATTGGCTCATGGCAGTTCTCATATGGGAACTCTCTCTCTTGTTCAGTTCTTGTTCAGTGTGATAGGACTTGGGATTTGGACCTCATACATTTATTGCACACAAAAGGAAGCTCTGATGCTTTCTTTCTTGCTTCCATAAAGAAGCTCTGTCTCTAGGTCTGTAGGGACCATATAGGTCCAGTCAAATAGCATGCTTTTCAATTATCTTTGAAGGAGATCCTAATAAAAACATATAAATCTTGAGGCCACGCTGTTACCTCTGCAGTGATTACTGAGGACGCTCTTCAGTACAGTGAGGGAAATTATTCTCCTTTACCCTTCAGCCCAAATTTACTCACTGGACCCACATAAATGGAAAGGTGGGGGAAGTTTAGCTTGGGCCAGTAGGTACTTTTGGTTTCTACCTCTCAAACCTACAGAAATTCTTTCCCTTTCTGAGTGACAAGCTTTTGAACTCAGAGTAATCAAAGTGTTTTCTTGGGATTTTTTTCAGTCCAATACTGAGGCAGAATTGTATGTAGGTAGAAGGTATGATCCCTTCCCTCTACCACCACAGAAATACTCAATTGCAGGATAAACTGAGAGATGTACTGTGGTTAAACACTAATAAAAAGGAAGGAGGCTCAACAATGTTCTTTTTAATCAGCTCAATTAATTTCAGACTTGTTTTGAATTAACTCTGAATATAAATACTTCCTGAAGTTTAAAACAGAAGCGTGGAGACTCCATCTAATCTGCTGAACTAGTTATTTTTCTTTGTTTTTCAGCTGAAGAGAGGAAGACACCCAGTGAGTCTAACAGTCCATCTTCATCTTCGCTGTCAGCACTGAGCGACTCTGCCAACAGCAAAGAAGATGCAGATATAACCCCAAAATCCAAGGGGTCAAACAACCTACTGGTCATTTCTGTAGTGCCTGGTAGTCAGACCTCAGTGAACACTGAAGAGAAGTCAGAGAAAGGTAAGAAATTTGTTTAACAAATACAAACTCTCACTCTCTATGCAGACAATCTGGTCACAGGGTAAGGACTAAGATCTGCTGTTCTATTTTTCAGGCTTTGAATGTGTTTTCTGTAACTTTGTCTGCAAAACAAAAAATATGTTTGAGCGTCACCTGCAAATCCACCTGATCACACGGATGTTCGAGTGTGACGTGTGCCACAAGTTCATGAAGACACCTGAGCAATTAGTGGAGCACAAGAAATGCCACACTGTCCCCACCGGTGGGCTCAAGTAAGGAAAGCAAGTACACAAACTTTTACTGTGTTAAGCACCTTAATACTGTGGGGGTAGGACAAAAGGACAGTCAGAAAGGTTGACTAACTAATAATCCAGATTTGGGGCTTCCTTGTATATAGATGACCCAAGGCCTGTCCTTCAGGCTTGCATCATTACAGCAGATTGGTAACCTGACAGCAGAGGAGCTCTAACAAACTGTGCTCCTTTCCCCATTTAAGTCAAAGAGGTGACAGTATGTGATGGGTCCTGTAGAGAATGAGGCGGTACTGCAAAGAGCTTTGGGCAAAATAAGGGTTTTTTCCAAGGCATCAGAGCAAAAAGAAGTGCCCAGTACAGGCTCTATTCTGCACCTGGCTCAAAGAAACTAAATCCTGTGCAGCCTCTAGGTATGAAGTTACAACATTAAAGGTTATAGCCTTTGAATACTCAAATCCAAAGTAATTTCTCTCCAATAATTAATAACTTGGATGCTTTCCGCTTTGTTTGCATGCCCCACAACAATCACTGTTCTATAAATGAACATGTAATGAGTAATACAGTCTTTTAAGATAAAAGCCCTTGGTTTTGGATGTGCTGGTACCCTTTTAAGGTACAGAGCAGTGCACTTTTGGTGCAGAGCAGTGTTTCTAGAGAATGAGTGTTCCCTTATGTCAAAGTCTGACCCCTGAGGGCAGGAGGGACTGCTGGGGCCACATGCTTGTCTCTGGGCAGGCAGTGTGATGTTATGAAAGAGGCACATCCCTGGCCTCTGTCTGGTCCAGCTGCTGCAGGAAAAAAGGGCTGGAAGCACTGGGAGCCCAGCTAGGGTTCAGCACAGGCTCCCAGCCTCTGCTGCTCTGGCTGAGCAGGCTGATGCTGCCGGTGCACTGTGGCTGGGACACGAGGAGCGCACCATGTCCAACACTGCCACGTGCAGCTCCCTCTGGAAAACTGGTCCTGTTTGCCAGGCAGCCTCTGGTCTCCAGCTCAGTAGTTCCACAGACTGAGATCTGTGGTCACTTGAGATGAGATGACTGAATCTGGAAAGAAGACCAGATTGAGAAACAAGCGCTGTGTCAGAACGACGGGATGTCTGCCTTGGAATACAGACCAGTTGTCTAACGCACATTTGGTTTAAGCTGCGTAAAATCTGTTCTGTTTACCAAGGAAAAACCATGACCATAATATGACTCAAGTCTTCCCGACAGAATGGGTGTCTCAGTCTATATTCCTGCCCAATTCAAGTAATAATTAGGTACCTTGAAAGCTGCATCTAAGAAAAAGCTCTGATTTATTTTTTTTTAAGGCATCCAGAAGAGCCTGAAGAGATCTAAGTAAATTGTATTTTTCTGTCTCCTGTTTGCTGTGGGGGAAGAGAAAAAAAACATGGTTCTTCCAGCTCCAGGTCAAAATCTGAGATTCTGATCCAGAGAGCACCCAGCCCAGGAGAGGTATGTGTGCATTGACAGCCAAGTCCTCTGGTGAAAGAGATAATCACATTAGAAGCCTCAGTGACAGGCTCCCTCTCTGGATCAGAGTACTTGATGTGCATCAGGAAATGTGTTCAGGTGTTTTAGTATCTCTTTGTCCTCCTGTTATTACTCACTTTCCTCAAAAATCTCTTGAATAATTTGTAGATTATTATTATACCTGTATGTGCAACCAGATGTAGCAAGGAAAACACGCATAGGGAGAGAGAGGATCTCAGCTCAGAAATTATCCAAAATGCCAGAACACAATTAGCAGACCTGTTAAACAGTGAGTGCAGACGTGTGGCAGCTGAGGATGCTGGAACACAGTAGCCAGCTGCCTTAGTTGTGAGATTTTATCCAGCCCTGCTCACTGAGCTCACCAGTTCCATGTGGAAGGTGCGTGCTTGGTTCAGTACAGCAGAGACCCCTGGCAGGGAGCTGTCCCCACCAACTTTCTCTCAGCTGCATCAAGCAACTGTTTTGGGTGTGTTTTGGGTTTGGTGGGTGGCCAGGCTTGTTCAGCATGCAGCTCAGGCTTCTTTCCAAACGTTCATGATTCCCTGCTCTGCCCTTCTCGGCCCCTCCTGGCTCAGGAACTGGGGTGAGGCCCTTTGCCATGTCCACCCAGGCCGGACGCTCGCTGCTCTGAGTAAGAAGAAGCCACATCCTGTTCCTGCACAGGAGCAATTCCTGCCACGGCAGAGGCAGCTGTAGGCAAACACTGCCAAGCACACACCCCTTTCAGCATGGCTAGCTCATCTCCCAGAAATGGGAGTCCCTACAAATCATCCTAACAGCCTGGCTTTCAGCTGCTCCTAGCAGGATACCCAGCAAGCTTATTGTTCATGGTCACATAAAAGGGAATTCCTAAGCTTTTGCTGTACGTGTGGTATTACAAGTTTATTCCATCTTTACTTAAACAGCTGTTTTCATATTCATCTGTAAACACTCACTTTAAACCACTTCTTAATGGAAAAAATGGCCAAAGTGACTTCGTGCAAACACTAGGAATCGTTACACAAAGTACCTCTGCATCAGTCACCCACCCTGCACTCCCCGGCCTGCTTTGGGGGAAGACCCCATCAAGGTAAGCCAGAAGGTTAAAGGGATGCTCCTTCAGAGTGAATCAATGTTTTCCTAGGAATGCCATTAAATGGGCAAACCTCCCTTAAGTAGAGATGTGTCAAGGTGAACCAGATATTGGAAAGAGGCTTCACAGGGAGAACTGAGTGTCTTTTTCTCCTCCTTAGTAGGTCAGAAAGGGGCTGAGTGCCAGGGTTAAAGCAGGAAGGCAGGTCTGCCAGCTGAGTGACTCCTCTTTTCTTTGTCCCTGCCCTTCCTTGCTGTGTTGCCAGGTGCCCGTTCTGCATCTACTCCACGAACCGCCCCGCAGCCATGGAGTGCCACCTGAAGACTCACTACAAGATGGAGTACAAGTGTCGGATCTGCCAGACAGTGAAAGCCAACCAGCTGGAGCTGGAGATGCACATCCGAGAGCACCGCCTTGGCAACCATTACAAGTGTGACCAGTGTGGCTACCTGTCCAAGACGGCCAACAAGCTGATCGAGCACGTGCGTGTCCACACCGGCGAGCGCCCTTTTCACTGTGACCAGTGCAGCTACAGCTGCAAACGCAAAGACAATCTCAACTTGCACAAGAAACTGAAGCACGCTCCACGCCAGACCTTCAGCTGTGACGAGTGCCTGTTCAAGACTACCCACCCTTTTGTCTTCAGCCGCCACGTGAAGAAGCACCAGAATGGGGACTGCTCTGAAGAGGAGAAGAAGGGCCAGTATTCAACCTCCAAGGAAGCCAGTCCGCTCCTACCAGTGATCAGCTCCAGGAACCTTCTGTCACCCCTCTCAGTTATGTCTGCCTCCCAGGCCCTGCAAACAGTGGCTATGTCAGCTGCACAGGGCAGCGGGGCAGAGCCAAACTTGGCAGTGAAAGCCTTGGCCATCAACGGCACTTCCCTGTGCTTCGATAAATACTGGAACTCAGAGTTTGCCCACCTTATTCCTTTAACAATGTTTTTCCCCAAAAACCACTACGATCTCACATTCCATCCACCCAGACCTCAGACTGCACCGGGAGGTGCCTCTTCACCTAAACACTCCTTCCTTGCCTACCTTGGACTAACAGAAAGGGCAGAGACTGTCTGAGGGCAGTTGCATTCTGTACCAAAAATCCCCGACAAACCCAGCAGGTTACACATTGCTGCAAACGTAGCCCCAGAGGTAACGAACACTTGTACTATATCATTAGTAAGGTTTAGCAAATGGCTCTGTGTGTATACTTATTGCATTGACATGAAAGCTGCTTTATTAAATCTCCAAGAGGTGACCTACTGCATACTTCTACCTTCAGAGGCATGTTCCCAGTACTCTTTATCTAAGAAACTATTTTGTCTTGTTAAGCTGAAAAAAAAAAGAGTGTCCTTATTGGCAATCAGCACTTGTAAGATGACATATTGATGCATTTTATTTTTGGGCTTTGTGTGCGTGCGGGTGCGTGGAAGAGAGGCTGCCTGTAGTGTGCCATGACATTGCTTTTGCACATCCCTTGGATTGGCTTCTTTAATCATTCTTCTTTTCCCCTTTCCACACACTGGCTCCCTGCCTTCCCCCTGCCTCCCCCTGAACTGTGGAGCTGTTCAGGAGCAATGTTTGGGGCGGGGCAGGGGGAGAACTGGTCTGTTATTTCAGTGCTGTTTGCAGCTTCCTTTAGTTGTTTGATGCCTTGTATTCAGTCGTCAAGGTTTGAGGATTTGGGGTAGAACTGGTGAGGAAGAAAAGTTGCTTTCAGCGCTGCAGGATGAGGGCATGACAATGCAAAGTGTGTATGTCCACACACTTGCAGTGTGTGCAGCCTACACACCCACCCAGCAGGCCCAGCTCTTACACAGGTGTGACAAACACCTGCCTCTGGGCCACAGCATACATCTTTTGTTTTAAAAGGGCATATAAATATTGGATATATATACTGTATTATGCAGTGGTTACCTTTTACTTTGCAGGAACAACTTGTATAACTAGAATTCTATGGTGGAAAAAAAAATCCAACAAGGGGATTTAAAAAAGGGTATGGATAAATTCTGGGTATAAATACTCAGACTAAAAAAAAAAGGCAGTTTTGCACAGTGCTTTAGTCTTGCACTAGTTTGTTTCTCACTTGCAAAAAAAAAAAAAGAAAAAAAACAAATTGTGGGCTGAAGTGAATAAGACTGTTTATTTGAAAAGGTACCAGTAACTTCTTTGAAATATAAAGCTATAAAAAGATGCTTTTGGAATCATAAAGTTCTCTTTTATACCCTCAGTATTTCAATTGTACTTGCAAATTTGACAGTCCTCTCGCTCCCCTCCATGTCATCAGTAATACTTTATTCCTTTCTGTTGATGGCAGATAGAGTGTGTCCTGCTAGGAAGCTGACTTTGTACTTATTTAATGCTCCTACTTGTGGTCATTAAAATGACATGTTATATGTAGCACTTTATTGCAGGAAGAAGCAAATGCAGATTGGTTGTATAACCTTTGTTAATCTCAAAATGCCAAGAGTGATCTTAATGCAAGAGAAGCTAACTGATCGTTAATTGATTTCTGTTCCTTAGACAAAGTAATATGTGGGAAGAAAGACTGGGATTAAAAGCACTCTGTTTTACAATTGGAAGTATGAAATGTGAAGCCTTTCAGAATGGTCATGTGATGTACAGGAATGCCTTCATACTGAATTATTGTTTTCCGTGGTGTCTCTTGGATTTGGATCTGGCTGTCTCTTACAGCTATTAGAAGTGTCTGACCTAGCTTTTGCCACAGTCCCCTCCCTGTCCCTTGGCCAAGCCACTGTAGGAGGTGCCCTGAGTCACATCTTTCATGCTATCTACCCACCCTCGTGCTGTCCTGAAGGAACTTCCTCTACAGGTTGTTGTGGGATGGGGGGATCCAACCACCCCAGCAGGAAAGCAATGACTCTGTTCAGGAAGGAATTTCTTGTCCACAAGGGCTTTTAGCCATATGGGCAAGTAGAAATGTAACTCAGTCTTCATGAGTTCTTAAATGAAGCTTGTGTAGAAGGACTTTCTGGATGCAAAACTTGCATCACTTTAACCTATTTGCAAGATTCCTGCATTTGTTTTGTACTGAGATGGCCAAACATTCTCCACTGTCATGACCAAATTCTTCCTGTATGTGGAGGACATGCTAATCTTGGCACTCCTGTTACCATACTGGAAGCTAGTTACAAGGGGGAAATATCCAAAACCATCAGCAGGTTATCATTTGGCATTATTAATTACAGGACAGAGAAGTCTCACCATTTGTTTACATTCCAGCAGACAGTTTTGGTTCTGATGAGCACTTGGCAGGTCTGTCTATGCAGTGAAGAGAACCCATCTGCTCCAAACTGCGTGTAAACCTCTGTAAACAACTTACCTAACTCAGGGCCCTGCTCACCATGCTTTACTCCACCAGAGCTCCTGCTCACACCTCCCTGGGAGCACAGGCGAAATAGAAAATACTCAGAGCATAAAATAGTTACTGTCTTGACAGCATGAAATCTGCAACCTGTATCCAGCAGCTCTACCAGTTCTGTAAAACACGCTCCACACCACAGAAAACCAAACACTCCCAAATCCAAAAGCTTGTTTTTCACACCAGCTACAGGTAAGGTGCAGCTGTCCAGGAGGAAGAAGAAGGAGGAATGTTACAATAGTAGGCCACTGTATCTAAACCAAATGGCAGTTTAAATGGGGCTGGAACTTCCAAGAATGAGCTGCCCGCATGCGACCGCCACGTGTTTTGACCATGTTCCACTGCACCAGTATCTGACCTGGCAATGTTTAGTGTACCTGGGAAATTTGTTTAGCACTTTGGAAAGGATAAATTCATCCTTTCTGGCAAGTTATAGAAGTTTTCTCTGTAAGGAAAAGTGTGTTAGGAGGTTTTTATTTTTTTAAGAAAAAAAAATACCCTATTTATCAGAGCTCTTGCATATTAAAATAATTTGTTTGCAGTTCAAGACTAAAGACAGGAATGTTCTCCAGAGGTTCCCCCTACTGATTAATGACCAACAGTTCTGATAAATTCCCCCCACCATAAAGGTAATTTCATACTGGTTTTCACTATGCATTCTTTAATGAAAGCTGGCGTGTTTTTCCATTCAGTAATTCAGTTAAAGTTCTCAGCACTTTTTTCTTTCTTCTTTTTTTTTTTTTTACTTGTTGTATTATGTTCAAATATCATTCAAGGTTTGTGTACATTAATAAAAATTTGTATTGTATAAAGCTTTTTGCATTATAAGGCTGTACAGGGTCATTTTGACAGTAACTGGTATATTTCTTTGCATCTTATGTTGCATTGCCAATTTCTAGTGTATCCAGTTTGGAAGTACAATATACTCTAATTAAAAAGGTTGGCTATATTCTGGTTTCTTTTGGTTTTCTTTCCTCTCCTTTTTTTTACCTTAAGTATATTTCAAGTTGATTTGGAGGGAGGGGTGAAGGATTCTCCTACAAGACAAGAAGATAATGTCTTCACTTTTTTCTTCTTATCAATGATATTAATCTTCAATTTTGAAATTGAAAAGGAAAGCTCTGTCTCTCACTCCTGATGAGAAAATACAGCAAATAGTCTGAGGATAGCTCCAGAACAGCTCACTCTGTGGGCTCTGTGCTTGTAGCAACCTTCCAGGTCAGTTCTGCAAGGGGGATAATTCCTCTTCTGCACACTCTGCTCAGTCATGCATTTCAAACAAATCAGATCCTTAAGCAGTTTGGTGTACTTGCTCTTGCTTGGAAATAAACCAAATTAAGTCAAGGAAATTTCCTTAAGGATGAGCTAAGCCATGAATGAAAGAACACAGTGCACTAAAACATTGTCACGAAAATAATTTCTTTTTAATTGTAAAAATATTGTGTACTCATTTTATCAGCATTTTAGAAAAACCTGGTTTTTTAACCAGAGATTATTGGAACAATTAAAATGCACAGAGGACACTAAAGAAGGAAACCCTAAGAGTAGACAAATTTCCAAGAAGCAAAGATACTACTGACTCCACTGAACAAGAAAAGATACTCAACATCCTAAAAAGAAGTTAGACTACTTAAACACTAGCCAAGAAAAGAAAATAATCTGGGTGTTCATTAGATAAGAATTATCCTCAGATATATTAATGTTACCATTAAATACATGTGGAATGCCTTTTCCCTGCACTTAGGGCAGTGTTAATGTCTACTCAACTGAAAAAACTTCTTACAGTTATTTCTACACTCCTGAGGTTTGAATACCAAATTTCAGGGCCTTTATCAGTACCTTGTACATGTTGCTGGGTGTTGGAATTCACTGCTCCTCTTCTGCTGCTGACTCCTTAGCTGAAAGAAAAGCTTTGACACAGAGCTGGTAAGTCATGGTGTCTCTCAAGAAGAGGTGGTGTCTCTCTCTCTTCCTGCCCACACTGTAATACAAAATATACAGCAAGACTTTGTGGAGTTTTTTGCACTATACCTAAATAGTTATCCTAGCAATTAAAAGTAATCATGCAAACCATGCCCAGAGCAGCTGTGGATGCCCCATCCCTGTAAATGTTCAAGGCCAGGCTGGAGGGGACTCTCAGCAATCTGGTCCAGCAGAAGGTGTCCCATGGCAGGAGGGCTGGAACTGGAGGACTTTAAGGTCCCTTCATGTGCAACCATTCTGTGAGTCTATTTAATTGTTTAAATAAGTTCTAAATCACTAAAACAAGACAGAAGAATTACTTAATTCAGGCCCCTCTCACCTTATTTTATCTTACTAAATTATCCTGACTGGCAGTCACAACCAAAACATAAACTGCCTGCAACAGCCCCTGTAGCTTTAGTCTGCCAGAGACCCCTGTGTTCACCCAAACAGGGGTGTTAGTGTGACGTGCTGAGATGTGATAAGGAGCCCCTGCCCTTTGCAGGAGGCTGTAACAGCCTTGTAGACCTGCATGATTTTAATCAATTAACTCAAATTTCCCCAGCCTATATTTTCTGATAATATTCCAATATCCATGTCTGATTACAGAAAACAGCTCCAGTTGTGTACTGACTCTTTCAGGAAAAAAAGAAGTGTCCTGTTTTCATTCTGAATTTGAGTACATTTTAAATCTCAGTTTAAGAAAAAAATAAGCTTAAAATTGCCATTTTTTCATAGTTATTTCTTACAATCCTACACATGCCATAGTCATCATGAACCTAACACAACAAGGCTTTAAGAGAGAATTTGCAGGAGGGGAAAAAAAAAAAGCCAAACCAAACTAAAACAACAAACCTACAATTTTCTGTAACTCTTCACTGTTGAGAGGGCTTCTCTACAGTGGAGGGGACGGCATCATTTATGCAGAGCCATGTTTTAAGATCCTTGTTGTGTTAAAAATACATCAGTTATGCTCCTAACAGACAGACATCTGCATTATATCATCCACCATCTTATCTGCTGCTAATTGGTCTCCTTGTTGACAAGTCTTAGCAGCAAGGTTAAGTGCTGGCTGTAAAAGCAATGTAGCCTCTTGCCCGAGGGGTCAGAGCTCAGGCAGACTGTGCTGGAGCCTGCACGGCCTCTCTCCCTGCTATATATTTTCTGGGAGCTAATAAAACACCAGGGCAATCACTCCTGCCTGGAGTCTGCCAGCCACCACGGTGTCTGTGGAGCTGCAGCAAATGGAACATCATCGCCCCAGTGCAGAGCACTCAAGGAGTTTGCAAAGGAAACAGGGATCTCTTGCACCAAAGTTTTAAAAACTCCCTGAGATGCAATTAAAAAAATCCCTGAAGTGAGGTATCAGCTGCCCCATGTTCAAGGTTAGCTTTGAACATGGGCCAGCTGATACCTCAATGTCCAGCACAGCCCTTGGAAAAGGGATGGGGGCACACCTTGACTGAATTCAGAGGTCCCATTTGAACCAAACACTGGGATTTTACCTGGGTGCTGGGCTCCTTGCAGAGCTCTTGGGAAATATCCTAGAAAGCCATCCAGGTGGGTGCCAGGGAATACAGCAGGAATGCAGCTGTTGGGCTTCCACGTGGGCACAACACCTGCCTTTGACCAACCTGTCATGGGCTTGTTCTACATATATGACAGGGAAAGGGAAAGAAAGGAAACTTAGGGCTGGAAATAAGCAGGAGCAGAGGAACACACTGACTGGAAGTATATCATTAAGTTAAGACAAAGAAAGCATCACCCCCAAAAATCCCAACAACTGGACAGGAGAAGAGCAGAGCATCACGTGATGTATGGCACTATTTTTGCAGGCTGTGGCAGCCTATTTCCCTGTTTAAAATGGGGAAGGGCTTTCCCTCCCTGGTTTTGCTTTGTTTTGGTTTTCTTTGTAATTGTTTCATTTCCTGCCACCTTAATCATTATTAAAATCAACATATGGCACAACTCTTTAAAAAAACCATTTTTTTCCAGTTTAAGCTATAGTTAATTTTAAAAAAGCTTCAAGTTTCTGTAATAGAAGTTCCTCTTCTGTTTGCTTTGAGTTCTGCTCTACTTTACTTTTCAGACCTCTACTTTCTATCACATACCTTTCTTTTTCCACCACTTCTCAGACAGCATTTCACTGGAAGTGTAAACTTTGGATTGTTGCTCTTCTGGGAATGTGCCTGTTTAAATAAAAAAGAGAAAAATGTTCTCTCTCTGAGCCCCTAGACCTTCGTGCCAATGTTTGCAGCACAGCCTAAAGTGATCAAACCCAAAAATAGGCATTGCTTCCTGGCTGGTCAAGGAAGCATCAAATACTTTCTTGATTCTTTCCCTGCTATTTAAGCCTGGAATGTTCATTCACACACCAGGCTGAAGAATTTGCTTTTAAGAGATGTACCAGGAGGCCAGCTGGGAGGGTCAAAGCCCTCAGTAAGGTGCTCCCACATGGGTGAGTAGACTTTGGAGCCATAGATGCTAGACTGCATCCATGAACAGGAGCAGGTTCCTGCCAGTTTGCTCTCACTGCCTCTCACCAGTTACCACATGAGCCTGGTCTAGGCCCTGCTCAGGACTAGGACCAGCAAAACAAATTAAGACAAACTGAACTATCCACGTCTGGTATTCCTCGACTGCAGGGATTAACACTTCCCTGGCACCCAGACTCCCAGTACACAGTGTGCAGCTGCATTCCAGCAGAGTTAGAAGCAGTGCTTGTTTTAACAATAAAAATCACTGGATCTTTCTTTCCTGAAACAGAGCAAAACATTTTAAATGGGATGGGATGGAATGTAAGTAAAGATAAATAGTTGCAGGAAAGCTCCTTCCAGCAGCAGGGTTCTGAAGCAATATGAATACATTGGTGGCTGTCACTCATGCCAGTGACACTTTTTAAATGCACCAGAATAGATCTGTTCACATGTGTTACCAGAGCAATGCCCACTTGCACTCTGAATATTTAGTAAGCAAGCATTAAGACTTCATGTTTTTATACTTAGCTCCCTATTTTTAATGGGCCTGCATACCCAGAACTTAATGAAAATATCTAAATATAATGTCAGTGGGATTTAAAAATATGCACTGCATCTTTTAAGTTGACATTTCAATCAAAAATAAATAAGATCCATTTATATGGTGATACTGTGATAAGATTGCATCAGTCAAGTTTCATTCCTACTCAAAGTGACAGATTTCTCTAAGTCAGAGCCAGGAAATTCAGTCCTCCAGCAACTCCAACCAGGAAAATATAACTGAGGGTGAATTTAAGTACTTCACAAAAATTAGGGTATCGTGTTTCAAGGATAAATGTATTTCATATAATCCTATAATTTCATAGAATCCTACAATCATCAAGGTGGCAAAAGACCTCCAAGGCACTCCTTTTGTTATTAATGAATTTATTAAGACACTTTTTTATTATTGTTCACAGGGAATGCCAGATTGAGTTGCAGCTAGGCTTTCACCTTTCTAACTTTCTCTCTACATGACCTAATGACGTTCTTGTACTTTTCCTGAGTTGTGTCTGCCTCTTCTTCTAAAGGTCAGAAATTATTTTTCTTCCCTGAGTTCGCCAAAAGCTCCTTATTCAGCCAGGCCAGTCTTCTTCCCCATCTTCACACTGTTACTGTCCTGTGGCTAGTCCATTAAAACTAATAACTGCACTCAACTTTTGTATTTGCCACTCAGCCCAAGTCACATGAGTGTTGTCATTAGTTTTTTCTGTCACCTAATCAATAGCTTGTCAAGATCCAGGCCCTTATTTGGTGGTAGAGACTTCAAGAATCCTCCACATTAGGCTCTCTCACATTTAGAGAGCCAAAAGAAAATGGATGGGGTATGGTTTTGCACTGTTCAGAAAATCTGTTTCCCATTGAACTTTTTCAGTTTCTTGGGCTAGTCTAAGAGAGGAACGGAGACAACTCAATAGTAGCAACCAGATATAAATAAAAAGATCACCCAAAACTGTCACTGGCAGCCAAGAGGCCTGGACTCTGAAATGTCTGGTGGGAATGTTTCCTAACCCGCCAGAAGCTCACATGGTTCAAAGCTTGCTCTTGGCACTGCCAAATGACCAGGGACCACCTCCTCCCATGGCATCTGCCAGTTCATGACAGGCCAAAAACTCAGAAGAAATCCCTTAGCTCTGCAGCTCTTTCTAGAAACCTCAAAAAGCCAGGCTACTTACCTCTGACTCCTCTGAGATCTGCTGTCTGTACGTATGTTGACATTGAATTCACTGTGCAAACACTGAAAGCCAGAGAACTTCCACCCCAGCAGAAGTGCACAGACCTGCTCTCCTCTTGCTCTGCTCTTGCAGAGGGCAGACTGCTTGTTGTAACAAGCTGCAGTGTCACAGCAATCTCAAATCAATGATCTTGCTTCCAATGTAAGACTGCCACGTCTCTGAAATCAACCCATCACAAGCTTTCTGAAAGGGACTTTCTGAAGACTCTTTTCCTGTAAACAAAAAAGGAAAAAGCACTTACCCAAGAACACAATTAATATTGTCAGTCAAGCCAAGTGAAATCTGACATCTTACACCATCCCAAGGATGCATTCAGCTTGAATTCTGACAGTATCCTTGTTTACCCCGTCCCTCCTGGCTATAAAGAGGGCAGCCAGCAAAGAAAGTTCCCTCAAGGAAAGATATCCTCCCACCTCTTTCAAAGATCTTTGGAATGTCTCCCAGCAAGGTGAGAGAACACAGGGAAACCTTCCAGCCACAGACAGAGGCTGCTGCTAAGTGCAGGGGAAAGGTCTCACCCTCTTTGACTCCAGCAGGCAACCTGGGACACTGGGCAGGGGTGTGAGAAGACAGCAGCCTGTCCTCACACCATCCAGCTGCCCAGCCCTGTAGATCCTGGGGGGTTCTTGGCAATTAGCACAGTTTCTCTTGCTAATGGACAATCAAGCATGTGCCCAAGCCCATCCAGTCTTCAGCTCATCACGGGGAGGACCTGAGACTGGCAATAAAACTCTCTGGGAATGGAGAGGCAGGAGTTCCAGACTCTAACCCAAGACCTCTTGGAGGGTCCTGACACCAACCCTTTCTCACCAGCCAGCTCAGCGTGGCTGAGCCCTGACAGGGCCTGCAGGTTGTTTTGGACATGAGAGGAGTCAGAAAACAGATTAATGCAGCTTAACTAGGAAATGGGTAATGCACCCTCCATGTCTCACAGGCTGGCCATGAAGACAAGCAATTGGGGTTTTTTTTCTTAATTTATAAGGCATGGGAGTTAACCTTGAGGTACTTCAGTTCAAAATGTGGTTCTTTTTTCCTGATAATGATGAAACAGAACACTGTAATTCAAACCCCCATCCTGGAAAGGTGAACAGCAGCCAGCCATACCAAGTGCCCTGGGCACCTGCTGCCAATGATCTACTCTCTCCCTTGAACAAATAATGTCAGAAGATGAACACCTTCTTCAGTAATTCCCCTTCCTCAGCCCCTGCCTGCACATCTTGGTTTGCCTGTGCTCATATCACCACATACACCTTCAACTATTCAGAATCTCTTTAATTCATAACATGATTTAACAGAATTAGACTAAATACCATCATGCAGTAACTTTTTTAACACATCAGAAAGCGTATTTTCATTTTTTTTTCAGGAAAAAGCTGTAGACAACTCATGTCAGCAGCCAGATTAAAACAAACCCGTCTTTCTGAACAAAAGGTGCTCTTTCTAGAGAGTTGGGGTCATTCATTATCTCCAGATTTAATGAACTGCACATTCCTCAGCTTTTGGGAAATACAATTTCACAGTTTGTAGAGGAAGATTGATTTTATTTATACACATCCATAAATAAAGGCTCCATGCTGTGGCATCAGCCAGTCAGATGCATGATATAACTTCAGCATCTCTTGAAGAGAAACAGCCTGGATTTTGAGTGAGGGACTATAGACTGGATCATTTTCTAACTCCAGATGAAAATTGCATTTTCCCTCATCTACCAGTGGTGAAGAGGGCTGCACCTGTGAGGAGCCCCTGCCAGCACTGCCCTATCAGGCTAGACAGGGGTCTGTCAGCCTTTGCCAAACAACTCACAAGGCAGAGATGCAAAGACACAGAGTGGAAAGAAATGAAAGAGAAGGGCTTTGCAAAAGTGGGACTTTGCCCTTAGTAATTAAAGGTAGCATGGATTTCACCCCAGCTCTAGCAGATTTCCATCTACAGGGAATGTAGAAAAAAGGAGACTAATAAGGAGAAATAAGGAAAAGGAGAACAAGACACAATACAATTTATTGTGTGAATTATGCAATACACCTTCATAAGAATCTAAGAGTATGAGCAGAAGGAAGTTTTGAGAAATGGCTAGTTTTAGCAAGGCCAGACCACATGAACAAAAGACAACCAGGCAAAAAAAAAAAAAAAACCTAAACAAAAAAAACCCCAAAAAACAAACGGTGTTTGAGAGATGATCCAAGTGGATTTTCATCCAAGCATCCCTTGGGCTACAGAAAACAGGTTTCCTGACTAAGAGAATGTCATGAACTACTTAACCACAAACAGGCCTCTTCAAAAAAGTTATGCCCTTAAAGCTATTTACACCACAGTTGTGACTCCTAACTTTCCCAGCCCTGCAGCTTCTTCAGCAACAAAACATTTTACAGCCTCAGTAGCTCTCTCCCGTTGCAAAGCAGTGAAGGAAACCTTGCCAAAGAGTCAGAAATGCAGAACCCTGAAGGAAATGAGACCTGAGACAACTGATTTAGGACTCTGCTCACCATTTTTCCTCCCTGGTTCCAAGTAGCCCAATGCACTTCCAAAGACCATGGAGCAGTTTGACACATTGAGGAGGGGGAAAAAAAAAGATGGTAACAAGTGGTTGTTCTTTTTACCTCAGCTGTAAATCCATGCACAACACCCAGGGCACAGCATCAATTCCAAACAAGTGCAGGCAGATATACAACGTGCTGCTTGCCCTGATCAAGACACAGAGCAGCACAAAAAAAAAAAAAAAAAAAAAAAAAAAAAAAAAAAAAAAAAAAAAAAAAAAAAAAAAAAAAAAAAAAAAAAGGCTCTCAAGCAAGACATAAAAATGCTCAAATCCATTGTAAGCAGGAGTTCAGTTTTAAGGAGGTCTAAACTGTCCTAACTCCAGCAAAACCACACCATTACCTAGACAGAGTAAGCCCACCCACAGTCCCAAACAGAATTCCTATAGCAGATGCAAATTTCAGCTGGTAATGTGAGCATTTTAAAGGAGCAGTGGGGTGCAAGAAGGCTAAAGACTGGGAAAAAAACATATTCAAATCATCTAAAACACAATCTTTGATAAGGGCAATATGATAGTTATACCCTGGTGAGTTTTTAGGGAGAATTAAAGAGGCTCTGAGGAAGCACAACTGTCCCCATGAGAACCATCCAGGAGTTTTATGTGTGCAATCTAATCACCAGTGCCATGATTGCTTTGCTCTAAGTCCAGCAAATCCAGATGGGCCACAAAATCCACAGGTTGTTCCATGCCATGCTTGGTGCTTTAATCCTCTATGTTTTGACAGGTTTGTACAGGGAAAGTTGAGGACTGACAGCAACTCCCCGAGCTCCTGGAAAGGATTCACACTGTGAAGAACCACAAAAGCATTTGATGCCAGAAAATACAAACCACACAGACCTTGGACCTCCCTTTCTGCCACAAGAGCTCAAGCATGGTCCAGACCAGGAGCATGAACTGAGACACTCCAGAGAGGTAATTTGTCTCTTTTTTTATAGGATGTTTTACTGGGGTATCTCTCAAGTTCCCTAGTAGGGAAGGCAGATGTAGTCAAGGCTGAAATTATGAATCCTTTAGCATTTGCCATGAATCATTTGGCCTCAATCACAAGAAGAGTTTTTTGTCTCTCCCAGAAAGTGTACTGGTTTTCCTGTGTGGCACTGCTTGACTACATCCGGCTGACTTCATCATGTGCAAGAATGAAAGCAGGATGCCCAATCAAGTACCAAACATCACTCAAAACCACTAACATTCACAATTCAGTCTCTGATCAACCAGTTCCTGTTGTGAAAACTCAATTGTAATTCAAAAAACCAAACCAAAACACACACAGGAGAAAAAAAAAGTCAACCAAACTTCAAAAACTCTGAATCCACCAGAAGATAGTTTAAGAGATGAATTAGTAAAACAAGAAGAAAACAAAACACACCACAATTCAGCACAAACAACACCCTAGATAAAGGCAGGGAACATTGACACTGCTTTTTCAAAGCAGTGACTATTATGGCTGGTACCTCTGAGAATGAAACAGAGCAAGCTCTCCAGGGCTCTGACCTCCAGCAGGTCACGTTCACAAGTCAGTGACCTCAAGAGCCAAGCTGGCATTCCCAGTGCCCACAACAATAGATCCAATTACTTCAACCAACAAGCCTTAAAAGGCACATGCAGCCCATGAAGCTCACATTGCTCTGTTAATTCAAACACATGGATCCACAGACATGAAGAGGGGGGAACAGCACCCTTGCCATCTCTGGATGCTGCACGTGCCCTGCTTACCTTCCCTTACACATTTTGGCTTCCACATTTCTTTCCCTGGTGTTTCCCTGTTTGGAGATTCTTCACCCAAACTCAAACCATAATGAGACTGAATAAATTGATTCAATACTATTTGCTTTATCATTTTTCCCACCATTATTCACTGCAATTCCTCAGACTTGGCAAAGGCAAAATACCATTTTGTTCTTCTTTCAATTGTAGATGTCCAAGTCCAGGTGCTTGGTGAAAAAATAAACTTGTTTCCTATGTAATACTTTTGAATTTGCTGAACAACCTAGCAGGTCAAATAACTTATTTTGAGAAGAAACAAAATCCTTCAGTCAGTATACTGCTGAAGTAAAGGAGTTCAAAGGGGATCAAGAGCATTTTATAAAAGGCAAATTGAAATAGAAACCTACAAGATCCTCTTTTGAGGAACATCAGGGACCAAATCTCAATGAAAATCCCTTCACAAGTATCAGCACCCCCTACCCTGTCCCACTGGGCGGGGATGGGGTTTGCCTGCCTCCCTGGGAGGCCTAAGGCCATCACCAAACCTGGCAGCCCTGGGGGCTCCCATCCTCGTACCCCAGCTCCTGCACTGCCAGGTATGACTGCCACCAAAATCCTCTGTCACCTCTCTGCTCTCCTCAGGCAGACAGAGCTGTGCTCAGGGGCTTCCAAGGGGCAGAGGAGCTGTGCTGACCTGAAAGGTGAGCTGGATATTGCAGTTTAATGTGGCTGCTAATCAGGAGGCTTCTCATGCCTACTAAGTAAATGTCCCTATTTACTTTAAATAAAACTGTGTCAGAAGAGCCAAAACAAAAATACCTATCCAGAGTAAAGCAGACAATACTGCTTGTATGTGAAATACTGTGTGTGTTTCACAATGTGAAAGTGATACTGCTGCACAAAATATGATGTAGCCCATTTTGCAAGGTTGCTAAATTATGTATTACTAAGAGTGGCACACAGTCACCTATTAATACATCTAGAGCCCTTTGTTGCCCTATTATCAATAACAAACCTTCTGCACTATTTTGGGAAATGACCTTTCTCCACAGCCTGGTGTAGCACGAGCCAGGAACCTCCTGAGCTGTAATTCCAGCTCCACCATTGACTTGCTGCATGGGGAGGGAAAGTTGCTTTAACCTCCCAGGTGCTGTTTCTTTTTCTGTAAAGCTGTAGTGACACTGGCCTCCCTCTCAGCTCAGTGGAGTGCCTTACTCAGTTCAAATATTTGAGCAGAGCTCTGGGGATGCAAAATGCCAGATCAGTGTGACACATTGCTGCAGCTGCTTAAGGATATTAACAGTGCAGAAATTCAGCTGCAGCTGGAAGAACATATTGTGCAGAGCTACAAGGTTCTCTTTTCACAGGTGAGAATTTATAGCCACCAGCTTTAGGCTACAAATCACCACCCAGTAACCTGTCAGTATTTTCAAGCCAGAGTTTCTTTCTCAACTCACAAGAAAGAAAATCTCAGTGCTTGGTCCCACCTACCTGGCAGCAGGATTGAGGGTAATGTTCACAACCCACATAATGGTAAAGGATACACCTAAAATAACAGCATACAGGGACCACAGGATGAGAATTACTGGGACGAGAGGAACACACAGCAGATACTCAGTTTATGCAGCCTGGGACATTTCAAATGTCAAAAAAAAAGCTGGGTTATAGGAAGTTCCAGAGATTGAAAAAATAGAGCCCAGAGAGTGGAGACTGTAACAACACCAGCTCTTTCTCTCTCACTCTAAATAAATAAAAGTCATGACTAAATGAAGTCATTCTGAAAACATGAATTATTTCACATTTCATTTGCTTTGGCAGAATATTCCCAGGCTTATCCCCCTCAAGCTGCAGGAACAGGTGGAAAACACTAACAAAATACAGGAACGTGCATAAGCATGCAGTGAAACTATAGGAAGGCTACATTCCCAACTTAGAAAAAAAAAAAAATAGTCACATAACTCTTTTCCAAGGGACAGAAATCAATTTGTTTTCAACACCTCGCTTCTCTCCTGTATTGTTACAAAAGATACCATCAGTATTTGAGAGTTGTCTAATAACTCTCTTTAATAATTTAACCAACAGTTTCCAAATAAAATTTACTTTGTGGCTTGAAACCCATCCTGCTAGAGGAAATTCCATTTCAATTCCATTGTAATTGACATCACGACTCAAATTCCTAAATCTGGATCCCTAGTTCTTCAGAAATGAAGGGAGTTTCACAGCCTGGAAGATTTAACCTGAAAGCCACACCACCACACCCATATTTACATTAGGAAGTTCCCAGGGTGAGCACTGTTCCTCCATCAGGATGATCCTAAAATGCCCTTTAAAAACTCCTTAATTATTATTTAAAAGCCCTTTGTTTTACAGACAGGGAGCAATACATTTGGCATGGAAGTTTAAGCATGACATGATTCAAGTTTATAAGGATTAAATTACAGCAGCTATTGCAATCCATGTTTGAATTTAATATTTAATATGTCTCTACTGACAGATTTCATTTACTCATCCTAATTAACAGTGCCCAGAGACTGCTTTTTCACCTTCTTCAGACTGAACTACGGCCAAATGTGAGCCCTGGGGTGGGGCACAGGCATCCCGAAGGCAGCAGAGGTGCCGGCGGCCGAGCGCTGCCATACAGCACCACCTAAGGGCTCTCCATAAGTACTGCTAGGGGATGTATGGAATGAGACCTATGGATTGGCTCCTGGATGCTCCCAGCCAGCTGCCAGGCTCCCAGCACACACCAGGGCCACCACAGCAAATATCTCTGAGCAGCTGTTTCCTCTCGGAGTCGCTGCCACTGATTCCTCAGGAATCTTCTGGAAAAGGAAGTTACCGAAAGCTGCCCGAGGAATAGTTTTCAGAACAAGATTTACCTCTGTCATCAGCAGCAATTTGTTTCTCTCTGTGGCAATCTCTTGGCATGCAGACAGGGTGGTTTGTTACAAACACTCTAGATTAAGCACAGGAGGAGAGAATATTATGGCTTGAAGATTTAGAAAGTGAAAAACAAGAGTAGCTTTAGTTCTATCCAGCTTGTACAGTATTTAAATCTCTATTTCAGCTTTTCCAGGCAATTTTTTTTCCTTCCTAATTTATACAAGTCTTGCTCATAAAAATATCTTCTTTTGGAGTGGTTTTGTGATGCAACCTACATAAGGAAATACCACACTAACCTGAAGATCCACTTAGTCTAGCCTGCCTTAATCTCAAGAAACACCCAATAAAGAAAAAAAAAATATAAAAGCAAAAGTATTCAGACTGACCCACAGAAATGCCCTTGCATGTTAGATGTTCACTAAGGTTCAATGTTCAAAAATGTTAGATGAGAGCTATTCAGACTAGACTAGTTTACAAGGTCTGTGCCTGTCTCCACAGTTATGTTTTCTGAGATGAAAGAATTGGCAGTGGGCCAAACAAGATTATTTTAATTATCCCGGTTTCCCTCTGAAATTTCCTGTCCTGTTTCACATGAAGTTTACCACCCCAAAAAAGGAAAACTGACCTACCAGGCAGGACAGACCTCAGGCAGCCTTTATTCTAGGACCTTATTCCATCACGTGTAGGCACATGCTCCACTGCTGACCTCTCCTGACCTCAGGGTGTGGAGAAGCAGCAGCATTTCTAACATGGAAGGAATTGTGTGTGGTGAAAATGAGTGTCTGGAGCAGCGTCTCCAGCTAAACTGAAAGCCACGTGCAATGTGCAAGACATGAAACCGGGACTTTCAACACATCCTAATTCAAAATAACTCTTTAATGTCAGTACAGAAATAAAGCATTCAGTGGCTTTTAGTCATACTAGTGCTGTACAGTAGCCATGCTCTGCTCCATTGCTGCAGGTGTGGAAATGACTGTACTAAAGAGTCCCACATTAAAGACTCCATTTCTAAGAATGTCACATTCTAATGGATAGTGACAAGGAAAAGTGAAGGGCAACAATATTTGAAGTCTGAAACATTAATTTTCAAATCTAATCAGTTTCTATTGCCACTGCACACAGAAAAAAACAGTCAGATTGTAAGTGGTGCATCACAGCACTCATCAATAACAAAAAAGGGTTTTTTTACTTTTACTGAAACTGTTTCTAAAAGCTTATTGATCTTGACCAGAGTTCCCCACTTCTCCTGTAAATCAGAAGTTAAGAGCATTACTTCAGCCCCTTGTTTTGAGTCCTGCAGATATCAGATATTAGCAGCTGTTGTTCAGTGAAGACAGACAAATCATACTCACAGCTCAAAATAAAGAAATCCTGTTTGGGTGAGCACAATTTGCTCTGTTCATCAAGCAAGCAAGGACATGAAAAGTCATTCCTCTCAGCCTCAGATAGCAGTCAGGATTTCCAAGTAGATCATTTTGTTAAGATTCGTGCAATATAAATAAAAAAGAACAATATTTGCAACGTAATTCCCATTCCCGTTTGCTGATTATTTTACTTGACTGAGCTCTACCAGATACCATGCACTTGCCATGCTTTTGACCTGGCATAGAGGGCAGAAACCAGTTTCTTATGCAGCTGCCTGTTCTGAAATGAACATCTGATCTATCTGATCTCAGTTTTGCAATGGCAGCAATATTAGTGCTCTCCATGAATTTTACGAGATTGGGATAGCTGAATAGCAGAGCTTCTCTTCAAATTTCAGAAGAGGAGGGACACCAGAGCACAACAGGCTTGTGAAACACATGCTGACCTTTTAACACATTGACCTGTAGTGCTCTGAAAAAGCACCAATGAACAGAGGGGAGAAGTCAGTGCTGGAGGTGACAGGGTGGAAAGGAGAAAACCACCACATTGGCAAGGGAGAGTGACCTCGTGTCCATGAGCATAAAGGTGGCTCAGGATAACAACATTTCTGGCAGAAAAAGTATACAAATACTCAGTTGTTTCTTACTCAGATCTAGGTGTAAAAGACAAGCATCTGAGCAACAGTAAAAGCTCCTGGTCTAAGCTTCTGATGTGGTAAGGCACATTACATGTTGCAGCTTCTGGTGTCACTAAAGGGCCTTTGTCCAGTCAGACTAAGAATTTAAGGTGAAACAACCAACTTACTCCTTGCTCTTATTTTACAGGCTTTGCCAGATGTGACCAAATAAAGGCACACATTCAGTGCAGACCCTCAATCATTTTCAACCACGTTCAATACCACTTCTGGTTCTGTTTGTGAAATCTTTTCTAAAAGACGTAAACCAAGAAGAAATTCTTAGCACCCTAACTTCCATTTCTATGGATTATTTTGCCTACTTTGAAATCCTAGGAAAGCTTCTGTAAATAAGAACAGATCTTACTGCGATGGCTGAAGTCTTTCTCCTTCCATGAGAGGAGGCTCTGACATCACAGTCTGGGAACCAGCTTAGCTCCTTTTCCTGAAAAGAGGCAGAATACATCTTAGTATAGTTGACTTGTCCCTGTATTTCCCATCCTCCAAATCTTCCTAGGACGGTGCCTGCTTTCTTCTAAGATTTGATGAGAGAGAGAAAGAGGAGTAAAGGGCAAAGGTAACCAAGAGGTCAAGAAGAGATGCTTTCCCTCAGACACTGCTAACAAGGCAGAGCACAGGAGTTTCACACGGCTTCAGAAACCCTTGTTCCCTGCTGGTGAGCTCTGTCCAAGCCCGGGTTCACCGAGGTCACAGCAAAAGAAAAGGTTGTACTTTTGTTGATCAACGCTGCTAAGCAACAAGTCATAAAAACCAACATCACCCTTGTCTTCTGCTGGTTGCAATTAGAGAACTACAAACAGGATCACAGATTCAGGGCCGGGAGAAAACCTTTGGCAGTGTGAGTGTGCACTGCTCCCAGCCACACAGCTCGTGCAGCAACTTCTCATTAGACACACAGCGGCATCCCCAGCCATTGCAGCCTGAGCAGGGCAGGTCAGCCCAGCCCTCTGAAGCTGTAATAGCCTTTGGCTTCTCAGAGTTTGCAATCTTTAGGTGGTAGTGGTCACTTTCAATTGAAGAAACAAAGCAGAAGTGTTGTCAGCCCCTGATTAACGTCATGAATATTTGAGTCACGTTAAAAGGCGCATAACTAAAGCTTTTATAGGCTACTCTACCAGTGGAAGAGATGTAAGAGGAAATGAAGACATAGTGACAGAGCAGGAACTCACTTTGCCACAGTATTTTAAGGAAGAATACAGCAATCTTATCAAGCATTCTGAAGGGTGAAGCTTTTAAGTTGTTACAAGTCAACAATCTTTTACTCAAACTACAAGAACTTCTAACTATTCCCCACTTCGAGCACAATTACAAACAAACCCACCTAGTGCCAAAGGACAAGCATCACTTGGTCCCATGAAACACACAAATCCAAAAGACAGGGACAGGAGTTGAATTTATAATTTGTGTAAGCCTCACACAGCAAACGCTGTCAGTCACATCAGTTTCTGTGGCTTCACAGTGAATTATCCAAGATAATTCTTATGCTCCCATGGGAGGAAAAGTAGAGAAATTATGCATTCCTCTTGCTGCTCCATAATGTACCTTCTCATACACTGTCATGAATGCCAGCCCCTCTTTTCCTTCCTCGTTCAGCAGCTGAACCATACCTTAGTATGACAGGAGGGAACAGAGCATATCTGTCATCCTTCCATTCTAAGTATGGACTCTAATTGCTTCTGAGTTTTTAATTTTGAAATTTTTACTATCAATTTAGAAATGCTGGTAACATTCCATTATGAGGGGTGTGGGTTACTTTTAAATAAACTGCAAGGAATATGACCATGGAGTAGCTGAACTGTTTTTTGGAAGAGGAATCCTGTTGCTAGTCAGTCTGTGCACTGATGACTGTTCAGCTCTTCAGGGGAACACACTAATGTTTCCTTAAATACATTCTTTACCAACTTTTGTTCAATATTTCACCAAATTATAAATGTTTTAGAACAGTCCAGCAGGAATAGTTACAGAAGCACTAAACTCTGCAAAAACAGAGAATGTTGTTCTCATTTTAACTCATAGAGTATGTTACTTATTGACTGTGCATCCAAGGGGGAGCAACAGAGCACTCTGAGAAAGGAAAATAAAGGGGAAAAAAGGATGTTTGTACCAGTACAGAGCAAGTCAGTAATTGAATCTTGCCACAATACAAAAGAAAACTGTAGAAAGTGAACTGCGTACAGTTTAAAAAAAAGTTCCTTTGCATTCTTTAGCTTTGCTCAACTCCCATGCCCCAAAATCTCAAACAGCCAACACACTGCAGATTTCACAAATAAGCAATATATGTGAGGAGAACATAAAGGCTGGAGCAGCATGCACAACAGGAAGTAATGCATTCACAGAAGGCGAGGGCAGATTAGATATCAAAGGAAAGTTTTTTATTACTTAAAGCAGGACATTACAACAGAACAGTAGTCAGGAAGGGGTCACTGGGTCCTGTCACTGAAAACAGAGAGATTAGATATGAAAGGAATAAGTCACACTAAGAGCATGAACTTGCTAAGAGCATTTTTTCAACCTTAAGTAACGTGGCTGTAAATATATGTGGGGCTCAGAGTAAAGACTATTGAACTGTAACCCTTACACTCTCTGACCTGTTCCAGAGTCCTGGGTAAATCACTTGATCTCACCACACTTGTTTCTGCCAGCTGTGAAACACCAGCAACATCTATTACACAGGGACCTGGGGAAAAGTTTCACACTTAGAGACAACTGCAAGACTTCGTAGAAAATGACTTTGTGTATCCTAAACAGTTTATTCCTGACCTCCCTTACTCATTTGTCTAACAGTTTGTCATACCTCCAGCTACAAACCTCCTCTTGCTATTGGCTTCTCATGAAGTTGTATTATTTTCCCATACTATTCTGCAGTAGCTGTGGGTTTAAGTGTTAACATGAGAGCAGCCTGACAACTCCAGAAACTAAGAATATGTCAACATCCTACTCAACAGATTTGTTTACTATCTTTTTTCAGAAGCCTGTTTACTTGAATAACATTTTAATGCATTTTAGCCAAGTTAATCCCACAAGGCTAAAAATTATGAGCTGGGAACATTCTTCCCTATCTTGGGACACAGTGGATTGTTTATGGAGTTGTAGCTGACCAGCTGAAGCTCTGCAGACCTTCTGAAGACAATGCATCTGCCCAGCCCACGAGAACATGAACAAAACTGCACAATTAACTGAGCAGCAGCTGACTCCAAAACACATCACAGCAAAATCTGACAGGCTGTAAACTAAACTATTTCATTACTACATGGAAGGCTCAGTTCATAGTTTGCACAGGACAGCTTTTCAGTTTGGCAGGGGAATCACTGAAAAACAAAACAGGGACCCTCATTTACTGCTTCATTTCCAAAGACTCCCTTCAATACAAGGATATTTCTCCATCTACTGAAGCATGAGGCATAACTGAACACATAAAGAAGGCAAATCAGATTTTAAATCATATTTTCATTTAATGCTCTGCTTTAAAAGGAAAATGCAGTTTGAAGAACCTGCTTAAGCCATTGTATTTCTGCTAAGAGTTCATTTATAAATTAACGATATTATAAAAGAAGCAACAAAATGAGAAAATAATGATAGCCCACGGCTGGAGTGGATCAGTAGATCTGCATCCAGAAAACAAATACTGAAGAAGCTGTAAAACATACTTTGCTTGAGCTGGTGTCATTTAAACAAAGCTGCAGGTTCTGTTTTACTTGCTTGGCAGCTCATGTATAACAGACAAGGAAAACAGCAGTCCTGACAGAAGCAGCAATGGCCATAATAAGGGTCTGATCTAGCAGATAAACACAAATGAGGTCACCTCAAAAACTGCCACCTTAAACAAAGGGACTATCAAAAAATTGAGAACTCACTGGTTAAAATGCTGCTGCTCTCATTAATTTGTTCCCCACCTGACTGCCATTTCTTCTGCAAGGTACCACGAAATACAGTCAGTACTTAAAGCTGAAAGGACTCAAAGGACACAAGACATTGCTCTTGGTTTGGGGCACTCTCTGTCATATTCAATAGAGGTGTTTAAATAAAAAAGAAACTGTAAGCACTGCATTTCTCTCACAATTCAGCATGGTCATGACAAAGTCACTGTGCTTCTGCCACTCCACACATTCCTTCAGCTGCCTCTTTGTAACTGGCTGCAGCAACCCCACAGCAGAGATTAGGAAACAGGAGTGAGTAAGTGGTCAGAGCTCAGAAGTTCCGGCAATTTAGGTGGTGGAAACCACTAACACCAGCTACCCCTGTGCAATCTTTCTTACCAAGGAAATGCCTCAGCTGTATGACCCCCAAAACACCACAATGCCCTTCCTTAGTGTTTCACTGCAAACTGTGCCCAGCAGGCAAAAGTTGGGATCACAATATAACAGCTGGGACAAGGGGAATGAAGAGGAAAAAGCATTTTGAGGGGAAAAAAACTCTGAACAAAACCAAACACCATGAAGGTAAAAAGAGGATTTAAGTAATCCAATTCATTGCTATACTGGAATTGGGTTGCCAGAAGCCAAACAGGTGAAATTGAGCTAAAGTCACCATACATTTTACATCCATGTCCAGAAAATCAAAACTGAAAATTATCACTTCCAATATATTTCTTTAAAAATTAATTTATCTAAGTACCAACAGGCTCACAAATTCTCCTGTTTTATGGTCAGGTCTCCAAAAATCAGTGTTTTTCCACTTTATCCTTCACATTTAGTGGGTACCAGATGAGCTCTGCTTTCTAGATCATAGATCAGGAAAATGTTTCCTCCAGATTTTTCTCAAGGGAAAATCAAAAATAAAAGTGCTTTTGGTTGGAAGCAGTCCTGTCTTCTGCAAGAAATAAAGAAAAAATACCAAGCACAACTGACCATTTTGTTTGAATCCAAAAAACATAAGTCAGCTCAGAAAACCACAAAACACTATTTTTAGAGACAAATTATTTTAGTATAAAGACATTTGCTATTAAAATATCATGAGTGACATTTGTCCAATCTGATGTCTGCATAAAAAAAAGTCTAACTACATTTTCCTTTTTAATAAAACATCTATTTTGAAACCAGATGGTTAAAATTCCCTTCTCCTACTGTACAGTGCGTAATAAGTAACTACAGCTTCCAAAGAGGGACCAAACACCACTGTGTTCTATTTATATGCATACAATTTATTTAAAACTAAGGCTGTGGTCTGGTGCTGTCAGGCAGTGCAATGTTCTTGCTGTCACTCAAGGTGAGGAAAGAAAATGCAATCCATTCTGGCAACAGCTGCTGCTATATTAGAATGGAAAGCTGCAGTGTCAACTGCTCTGAGATGACCCCACAACCAGAATCAAACCCTGCACCACCACAAACCTCACTCTCCTGCCCTCCCCAGACCAAATCATTTTACATGGGCATCCAGTTTTTATCAACAGATCTAAGGCATGCAGAAATAGAATATTTGGAAATTTATTTTTTTCCAATAGTGTGTAGTAATTTCTTAGTGAGTGTTTAGACTTGTCATGATCACTGCATATACAGAATCCAACAGAATTCTTTTGCAGAGTACTGGATAGGTTTTCCATTCATTTCTGCTGCAGCAAAACATCTGAATCCACACATAGAAAAAGTGTATTTAATGTTCACGTTTACATAAAGCACCCATCAAGAAGAGAGTAGAAAACAATGCTTAGAGACCATCCTTGAATGCCTTCAGCAGCAGGTCTGCTGCCAGCCCGGGAGACAAGACCCCTTGAAGAACTTTTTCCTCCAGAAGTGGGATCTTATCCTTGACTGCCAGGTGACTGCGGAAATGCTGCAGCATGTTTTCCTGGATGAGGTTCCACATCCACACCTTCTGCTGTTTCCGCCGTTTGGCAAGCAGCTCGCCGCTGGTGAGCGCGAGGTCGCGGAACTCGGTCATTTTGTCCCACATATCCGAGATGCCCTCCCCGGTTTTGGCGGAGATGCGCATTACCTGGTGGAGTCAGAGGAATTGCCAAAGCCAAGTTAGCTGCTGGCCTGGAGGCTTCCACTACTGGATCAGAGAGATTGCATGGAAATTAAGAAATGTGTGAGCGAAGCTTCCTTCCATACTCATTTCATGAGGCTCCAAACATTTCTGTGCCTTCTGCCGCAGCCTCCCCAAAAATCTGGGATTCAACTAACTAGAAGTGGACTCTGAGATCCATACTATTTGGGATATTCGTCCAGCTCCTTGTTATGAGAATAATTTTTAGTAAGTCCTTCAGCTAAGAGGCATATTATTGCTCTTTCACTTAAATGTAGAGTTAAGTGCATATTCTGGTTGCTCCTCTTCTGCACTTAAAATCTGCCAGGGTTTTTTGTTTTTTGGTGGTTTTTTTTCCTTTGCTTTCCAGACCAGGAATTAATTTTGCCAATAATATTTCAGAAATCTAGCACAGTCTTTCAAATTGAACAGCCTGGGTAGTTTTTTTAAAAAAGCTTCTCCCCTTTTCCACACTTAGAAAAGAAAGGCTAATCCTCAGGTAGCCCAGCTGATTTAAACTCAGCTTAATGGGTCAATTTCAACACCAGGGCAGAACAAACCTCCTTTACAAATGGTTTATTTATAAAGGAAGTGAAAGTGTGTGTGTGCTTATTCTATATACACATATTAAAAACTAGTACTGAATCTTCTCCTTAAAAATCCACAAAAAAACTTTTAGTAGATAAAACACAGCATTAAAACTGAAGACTCAAAGGATGACAATTCCAATTATCTAGCCATTTTTATTATGTGAGAAACTAAAAAAAATTAAAGCAATAAAGGAAACACGTGAACTAGTGAAAGAACAAAGATAATCACAGGCTTCAGAGTTATAACAGAGGGAGAAGTAGATTAAGGGAAATTTTTAGATATGCAGAGTTTGCAAAAAGCAAGTCAAGGCTGCACCACTCCTGATGTCAGTAATGCCTCTGCTAGTGCAGAGATTGCAGCTCCAGGCAGAAATCCTGGGGAGAAGGACTGGCTTTGCAGCGTTTCATGTGGCACACCTTGAGATCAGAGGTGAGGCACAGAGAGCAGCAATCACCTCTCCAGCACACTGACACTAAACAACCAACTGCAATTTTTAAAAAGAGCCTAGGGAGACTAGAACAGCTAGATGAGAATATACCAACCTTCACTCATTCAGCACGTTTTCTGGGAGGGAAAAATACAAAAAAAAAAAACCCTAAACACATCACCAAAACCCAAACAAAACCAAACCAGACCCAAAGAGCCCCAGAAAACACAGGGAAGCCCACAAACCTTTGGCCTCCAAACCTTTGACCGCCTGCGAAGCAGCTTCATGGCACTGATGTACTCAGCCTGGATCCTCCGGGCGGGCACAACTAAGTCACCATCAGCCTTATTGATAGCAACCAGGTCTGCCATCTCAATGATGCCCCGCTTGATGCCCTAAACCAACAGGGACAGCAATCAGGAGTACCCAGAGGGGCTGTGACACGCTGATTCATCACAAAAAGCAGGTCAAAATGCTTTGGTAGTTTCTAGTTTTCTTTCCCCCAAAATATATGTAACTAGTAAACATGTCAAAGTTAAACCACAGAGTATCAAAAGCTTACATCCTAATACTTTTAAAATCAGAAAGGGAGCTTAACTGGGCAGTAAGTGAATGACACTGAAAATACTTAACAGTATAATGGACAAAACACTATTGATATGGACTTTCTGCACAGATACTACATGCTGAATGTAAGTTTCTCTTTCTAGTCCCAATAAGAGAAACTGAAAAATACCTGTAATTCATCCCCACCCGCAGGTGGTAGCAGTAATATAAACATATCAACCATATCAGCCACAGCAAATTCTGACTGGCCCACACCTAAAAAATTAAATTCAGAATTTACCATTTACTACAAACTTTCAGTCTCATTAATGACAGTAATTGTGACAGATCCCAGCACTGCCCCATGAACAAATCCCACCAACAAAACAAAGACAACAGGAAAAAGAAGAGTTTAGTAAAAGATACAGGACTAGAAAACAAGACAGAATGAGCATTTGTGTTCAAGCAGTGACCATGTATGAAAACATGGGCAAAGTCAAGGCAGAGGTATGCAATTATTAGCACAGCTTATTTTCATATCACAACAGGACAATCAAAGTGAACTCAAAGCACATACCTACTGTTTCCACAAGAACAACATCGTAGCCTCCTCCTTCACAGAGCAGAATGGCCTCATTTGTGGTCCTTGTGACACCTCCCAGTGTCCCACTGGTTGGAGATGGTCTGATGTATGCATTCATGTCTCTTGACAACTCAGTCATCCGTGTTTTATCACCCAGCAGGGAACCTTAATGTTAAATTATTTCAGAAGTGCAACACAGCCAAATTCCCCCTGCTCCCCACTTCCCACCAATAAATGAATGAGGAAAGACAGGTCTCTTGTACAAAGTCAGTCAGATAAGAATATCTTAGTCACTGCTGCTCAAGACTTAGCTGAGGACTAGGAAGCTACTCTCTGGTTCTTCTACTTCTCAGAAGCTGGAAAGGCCTGTCAGGCAGACCTTACTGCTACCAAATATGAAGAATCTGTGCTAGGTAACAAGGAATTCTACAATTCCTGAATGGCTTTTTGAAGCCTACACACATCAGGCCATGCAGCTGATTCTTGTCTACTCCTGTCCAAAGGGACAAATCTCTGCACTATGATTCTGGCACACCTTGATGCAGGATGTTTTGTTTGAAGGGAGCTGACATGTGTTGCTGCCTTCCTTCTACTCAAACAAACTGCAAATCAGATTCAGTGAGATCTACACACACTCCAAAAGATGGGAGATGCTCAATTCATCCAACTGTTGCAGTCTTGCTGTCACATTTTGCTCCTCCACTGATGCATCCTGAAGGCATGCATCAAAGAACACAGTCCATCTTAGCTCCATGTCAATGCAATGCTCTTGTTATTTCTTTATAAACAGTTACACACCTCTAACAGCACAGAAGCTGGAAAAATTAATGAGCTGCCCCTTATGGAAAGATCAAAATCAAGACTGTATTATTTGTATCAGAGATACCAAGAATCAGGCACACTCAGCTTGTAATTTCCCTACAATTTTTTATTGGAGAGTTACAGATCACAGCCTGTCATCAGTAATCCTGCACAACTTCAAAAAAAATTCAAATTTAGAAAAATAAATTGTAAGGCAACATTTGAACACTGAAAAAGAGGAAATCTGAAAGAATTACAACACTGATACATATTTTCCAATTTTGTATCGCATAGGAAAAAATATGAAAACTTGATTTGTTTTATATTTTACTGTTATGGGCACCAAATTTTCTTCCACTTGGCCCAAAGAGATACCTCAGTAGTTGACAAGGTATTAGAAACTTGACTCAAACCTTAATTCACACTCACCACCACTTGTACTAGAGGAAGGGTCTACAGCCAGCACAGACACTTTGTGGTTTCTTTCCGTAAGCATCTTCCCAAAGCATTCTATGAAGGTCGACTTTCCAGCACCAGGAGGACCAGACAACCCTAAATAATCACATTAGGAAGAAAAAATCATTTTGTTAATCAGATAAATAATACATCTCATGAATATCATCAACATCTAGTTGATAATAATTCATACTTGAACACAGTATCACAACACAGGCAAATAAAAGCTATGCCAAAACAAAATAGGAGCTTGGCAACACAGCAGCACTTCACCACCCCTCATTCTATTGACACCAACAAAACACTGAGTTTATTCACATCTGTTTCTTCCCCCCCAAATAAAATTACTTATACTGTATGACTTATCCTTCAGAACTTTCAAAATGCTATACATTAGAACTGCATTTTTCAGATTTACTACGAAAGAAACACTCCAAAAGGAAAAGCAAGCCTGTACCTTAAAGAGCTGCTCTTTCCAAAAAATGAGGCCATTTATTTGCATGTCAAAGCTCACAAACTAAGATTAGCACCAAACTTTTCTCACTCCCATGCCCCAGTTCTTGTTCTTACTACCTTTGAACAGACAGGAGAGATGACAGCTGGGCATGACACATGTTAGCAGTCCTTCTCTTTGTAAGGGAAAAAATATTTTACAGGTTCCAGGAGAAGCAGGTTCAAGTCTCCTTCAGCTGAAAATCAGGCTGCTTAACAGAGGGCCATAAAACAGTAAGGTGCATGTTCTTCCTTATGAAGACTAAAAAAAGGGATTCAGGAAGTGTTCCAGAAAACACCTTTGGGAAAAGACCAGGTGTGCTTCACAACATCTTTCCCCCAAGTGTAGGTAACATCTGCATCAATCTGCAAACTAACTAATGTTTCACCTTATAATGGTTACACAGCTGACCCTGAATAACACACTCCCAAGAAGCAATGATAATTTCTAAAGCATTTTCAAAAGCATTTTTCATCTCAAGCCATAATTCCACCGGACAACAGAAGTAATCGAGATTGGTTACAAACTACAAAAAAATAACAATCCGAGACTACAGACCAAAAACAACAGTGATAACAAAAGGTGAGGAGAGTAATTACATGTAAGCAACTACTAGACAAGACATAAAAGGACTAACCCACTCTAAAGGCAAGTGGCTTTCCTTGATTTAACTTTTCTTGTTCCCTGTGGTAGGATAATACCTTCTGAAGGAGCACCTGGGCTACTTTCTTCTTCCTACTCTGAGTTGATTCTATGAGTGTAATGGCTTCGGCTAAGCAGGCTCTGTGGCCCTGGATTAGCCCCTGGTAAAGTCTGTCTACAAGCCTCTGCTCCCTGTCGGAAAGTCCCTCTGCTTGCTGCTCAGGGGCTGCTTGCTGGCACAGCTCTCTCCTCCAAGCATTTGATGAACAAATCCATTTTGTATGGCAGCCGTGTGCTGGCCCAAGAGACTCGATGCCCAGGAAACCTGCTCGGGAAGCGAAGCGAAAGTTCATGAAGTAAGTTCTTCTGGAGAAATAACAACGAGGGAATCTCAGCAGCAAAGAGGGGATCTTCATCTTGTTTGGAGCTAAAAATAGCAGAGCTGTCAGATCACTTCTGTTTGCAGACGCCCTAAAGAGAAGGAAAAACATTTTTACTTTCCTCAAAGCACTTGTGAGGACTCAAATTTAATTTATGCACACCTGTGATCATCAGCTTTGATTTTATCTGTACCCACTGCCTTCAATAAAAAAATGACCATCCTCTTTTCCCGTTAAGCAATACACAATAAAAACATGCTACAGAATGAAAAGCACAGCATCTCTTTATTATCATACTTTATAAATAAAAATATCAAAAAAGCACTTTTAAATAAGCCTCTGAGAGCACACTACAGATCCAGGAGCAATCAATCCTCACGCTTACGGAAACGGCAGTATATTCCAGTTTGACGGGCTATTTTTAGGGCTGTTTTTAAATTATTCGGGATGAGGGCATTTTGGCACTTATATCCATCAGAGAGAGGAAAAAAAGGTGGGGTGGAGGAGAGCTCGGACACAAGAACATTCAGCAATAAACAGGAGGAGCCGAAGCCTCCCCGAGGCGCCCGGGCGCTCCCAGCCCCGCTCCCGCTGCCCCGGGGCGGCCGCTGAGGGGGCGAGGGCCCGGGAAAAGCCGCCACTCCCGGCCGCTGCCCACCATTCCCAGCCATTCCCGGCACCTACCGGAGCCGCCCCGCTCCGCCCCGGGAAGTGACGCCCTCAGGCTGAGCCGGAACCCGCTGCCCCGCCGGGGAAGGGCCGGGAAAGGCGTGAACGCGGCCGGGAAAGGAGGGTGGCGAAGGGCAAGGAGCGCTCCCGCCATTGCCCGGCCTCCCAGAGCGAGGGCTCAGGGCCTCAGGGCTCGGGTCTGGCCATTCCCTGAGTACACAGACTTCCATGGCCGTGGAGTCGCAGTCTGCCTGCCCTGGCCTTACAGTGATCGATGTTTTAAATAATCTTTTCCCTCCCGATTTAGAGGTATCCACTCTGAATCCGTGCATGGCCATTTACTAGTCCTCCTCCTTCGTTTCATACACCAGGAAGGGAGAAAAAAAGCTTCAATCCCCACATGTGCTTATTAAATCACGTTTATTTTCAGCCTTATTAAACCTCCCCTTTAAATTTAGTTTCCTGTCGTGGAACGTTGGTTTATCATGCGGCGGGGTTTGTTTTCCTTCCTTTTTTTTTTTTTTAAACTATTATTATTTCTCCAGTCATCTCACATCCTTTTTTCTGCCCGTCTTCTAGTCGAAGTACACAGATCTATTTCTAATGAATGCAAGCACACAGAATGCACTAGCTGAGCTGTTCTTGCACTGTCCTGCAATGACTTTTTCACAGTGTCATCACAGGGGCAGTGAAAGTGACAGACTATTAAATAGCAAAAGTTTTATTCTGAACTGCTGAATGCACAATTTAATCTCACTGCTGTTATTCCGGTCCAGAAGACGATGATACACAGATAACTGAACACTTCAGGGCTAAGAAAATATGCAATTTTGTGTGCCTATCAGCATGGGATGAAACAAAGGCAGAAAGAGACAAGAAGTTCCATTTCGAAATAGCCTTGTGAGGTCTTTCTGTTTAACCAGGTCTTCATTCACCAGAGTTATCCTGGATCACTATAATCTCTTCATTAACGAGCTTTCTAAGGCTCTCTGTTTCAAGTGCTGTACTTACACCTGGATAGCACATCCCCACTACTATTTTAATAACAGCAGAAATAACAAAAAAAACATTCTACTTAATTGATCCTTCAGTTTATGCCCCTTTGTGTTCTCACAAATGGAATACTTTTGTCAGTGACCTTGATGAACAGGCATGAAAAACTGCACGTTTCATCAATGCTGAAGAGGAGAGGGGAGTGTTCAGTTCTCTATGATAACACTTTGTGGACTGGAATAATGGGAGTGAGATTAAAGTGTGCACTCAGCAGTTCAGAACAAAACTGCTGCTCTTTTATACAGCCCCTCAGCTGTACTGCCAATCTGATATGGCCACAAACAGGCATGAATGTGCTGTAGAGTCATCTGCCTGCAAGAATTGTTTTCAAGACTTTGCACACTGGTGAGGTCTGGAACTCCAAATTACTCAAGTCATCCTCTTTTTTGTTCCCTTTTCCCCCAACTCTGTTATTCAACAAGTTTGCTTTTACCAGTCAGAGGCTACAGTCTCCAAATGCCAGATATGAGAGGAAGACTTCCTATTCCCTTGTCAATTATATACACCCTTTCTTTCAATAGTCTTTCATATATCAGACATTATATATGTCTGCTAGAACTATGTGCACTTCTACCACCTCTGATTTTCTTTTACTATAACCTCATCCAAAGTAGGCAAAATACTCACTTAGAGGCTGGATCATATCTAGAGTCTCCTTAATCTACATCCTGCCACACTATACAGTGTTCTTGCATTTCTCCTATGGCCTTTTAATGTATGCAACCAAAGAGAGGGCTTTTTGGTTGTTATTCCACAAAACCAAATAAATTTTGGTCAGACTCACTGTATTTGTCCTTTCTAATCTCCAACATACAGATTTCTCTTGGCTTCTGTATTCTTTATCCATTCATCATTAATTTACTTAACATTGTTGCTGAGCTATTCAGGAGGGTAATTCAGTAGCTTTCTGCATCAGGCTCTGTTTCTCCTTTTTCTTAAAAATTATCTTTCAGATTTGGGGTGGGGGAGTATGTTAGTGGCCTTGAGGATTTTTAATTTCAAAATTAACTCATATTCCGTGTTCTCTTTGCTTCTTTTACCCAAGGGTGTCAGAAGAATAAAAATGCACCCCCCATAGTTATTCCATCACAGTCTGCAAATTTGTCCAAGATTTAAGAAAATTATCTGTTTTAATCTCTTGCTGCAAATTTATCCCAGTGTTAAAGGAAAGGGCACTGCTGGTAATTCACGAAATAGCAGTCTTCCTTCTGAGCCTATACTAAATCAAACATCCTGTAAAGTGTTATAAATATTGTGCCATGAGCTAAAGGTGCAGGGAAGCACAGATATTCAGGCAAATGTGCAACCAAATCAAGATCATTACAAAAGAATAGAAAAAGACCCTTCTGTAACTTCTCACAGCAGGAATAGTATTAACATTAGAATCTGCCAAATTCAACCATGCAAATTTACATTCCGTCTAACTGGTTTCCCCTTGCAGTTTTAGTTGGATTAGCTCATTCTTTCTTTCTCTGGCAACACTGATTTCCTTGCTCTGTTCACCTCCTCTTTAGGAAAACCCAAAGTAATCTTTGTGTACATAATTAATACAATGATATTTAATATCATCACAGACATTTCTCTACAGCAATGTGCTGTAAAAGCCAATACAAAAACACAGTCCCTGCCATGGTACAAACTGAAATTACAGGGGTAACCAAATGACCATTTGCCCTTTATTTCAGAAGGCACCCCTCAATTAATTTCAGTTTTCACAGAAGCAGAGAAGTTTGATCCAACCTCCTCTTTACAGCAAAACATGAAGCAAGGTAACTACTGATTACAGCCTTCCTTTCAAGAAGAAAGGCTAAGCTTTTCAAGGACAGTCTTGGCACTCTAGACAAAATATACCTCCTGCCTTATCTTAAAAGATAACTGGACACCTGAAATGAAATTACTGGAAAGCATATTCACAGCTGAACATTTACCTGTTGAAATGCAACTTGAGCCCAGGCCTCAGATCTGCAATCGTGACTCAGGCAAGGAAATACCAAAAAGGCTATCTCCCCAAAAGCTCTGCAACTGCTACACCAACAGGTGTTTGCTGACTGTGAGCATCCCAAGGTTTTTCTACAAAGGACAGAGCAGCAGGACAGCTGCCTGACTAGGTGTGGAGAAATCAGCCTTTCCACAGCTTCCCAGGGTCAGCCACCTACACAGGAGGACAGCTCCAGGGCTGAGCAGATTCTCTGTACCTGTGCTGCTGAGGAGCCATGAGGCTGTCAGGGCTGCTGGAGCTTGAAAGCCTGGAAGAAGTTGAGCTTTGGCTGAGACCTACAAGAGAGCATCTGAAGCAAGTAGTAGGAAAAATGATCTTAAATAATTATGGTTTGTATTTGAGTAACATTTTTATAAACAAGGGAGCTGAAGTTTCTTCACAAAGCCTTAGAGCAGTGACTTCAGTGTTTCCTTGTTGGTATGAACTGAGCAGTGATTGCACATTAGCGAGAAGTTACATCAGCCATTACAAGAAAGTTTTCTACTGCTTATGCACAAGTTTTTTAATTGTTAATGATGCACTGCCTGATGTGAAACGATTTTTAAAGGGGACAGATAAAACAATTTTTTCTTGTAAAAGCAACTATCTTTTCTGTAAGAAAAGGGAAAGATGTTTACTATATAGGCAAAACCCCCAAACATTATTCATATACTACTACTGGTTGTAAAAGCCATTTAAATAATGTTCTCCAAGACTGATTCATTGTTAAAATTATAAACCTGGAAGAGCAAGTCACTTGCCAGTAAAATATTATTTCTTTTTCTTTCAATTAAAAAAGTATTTAAAAGCTTGGCTTAAAGAGTATGTTTTTCTCCATGGCCACCAATGACTCATGATATCAAAATATTTCTCATGTAGTTCATTATTACACAGCTGAAAAGGAAATAATTAATTGCTTCCTCCTGTTTTGGGGGTTTTTTTACATACAGCAATGAAACCATACCAAGCATATTAGTAAACATAAAAAATATAATACAATCTGACACCTGGCTTTGCTGAGACACCCTCATTCCCAGCTACTTTTTGCTTAAGGAAAGGCCTAATTGGTTGCAGTTTTTAAGTTCTGTAGTTGCCAAAAACTCATGCTGGAAGTCTCGGTTGTGTGGGTATTTGCTTGCTTACTCTCCAACATGCCCACAAAAGCAAGACTTTGGTCTTACAATCCAAAATTGTGTGCAAGCTAAATGTCCCATTTTTGCAGGCAGCTGTAGCAGATGGATGTGAAAAGGACAAAAAGGGAAGAATCTGCTAAGATTCAGTGTTGTATGATGAACCCATCCAGAAACAGAGCACAACAGCATTCTAAAAGGCTGACTGACTCAGAAAGGGCTTGCTAAAAGCCTGTTGGATCATACTTTGTGCCATTGCTT